CCCCCCGGCGCACGTGACCGCCGGCACCGCCCCCCCGCGCATGCGCACGGCGGGACCACGGGGGGTACTCTGGGCCGCGGCCCTGCGCGCGGGTGTCATGGCGGCGGCCGGGGCCGGGGCGGGGATGGAGCCGCTCGCCGCCTCCGTCCGGGATTTCGTGGCCGGGCAGCAGGACGGCCGCGCCGCGGAGGTGGCGGCAGGTAGCGGGCGGGGTGCGGCCACAGGGCGGGGCTTGGCCTTGAGCACGGCGGCGGGGCCGGGCCGGGCTGGGCCTGGGGCAGGCGTGGGTGCGGCCGGGCGAGTCATGTGGAGGTGTGGGGAGCGCTCTGAGGGGAAGCGTGGGGCTGTGGGGCTGGGCAGGGCGGGGTGGGGTGGGGTGTGGAGTGGAGGAGCGGGTCAGAGCGTGGCCGTGGTTTGGGCTGCCGTGCGGGGCAGGGCACAAGGGAATAGGCTGTGCTGCAGCTGCGAGCTGGGCGTTGGGAGGGACGTATGGGGCAGGAGTGGGACAGCAGCGGGGGGCTCCAGGGGTGAGGGAGAAGTGGGTGGCATTGAATACGCCAGTGGGGAGGGAGCTCCTGGCCTGGCTGAGGTGCTGTGGGAGGTGACTGCTGTACTGGCCCCTGCTTCTGAGGCCCAGGCTCTGACTGCCCTCACTGTGGTTTATCCTCCTTTCCTAGCAGGGCTTGAGACTTTCGGATAATTTGTCTTTCTGCTTGGAGCAACAGTTTGGTGACTTTGTTACATTAGGGAGGTTGCAGCCTCAGGACCTTGGCTTTCTAAGCATAAGGCGACATGTTTGTGTTTCTAGGCAGTGGCTTCAGCATGTTTCAGGAAGGAGCTGAGAGAGCAGAGAAAGACTATGTAGGTTACATTATACAGAGGGGTAGCTTATAGACCTTTCCCAAAGCTCATGGATTGTGAACTGATCCATGGTATCTTGATGATGAGATGAGCTGGCAAAACGGGAAGGTGGCCCATGTGACATGGAGTGAAGAAAATGCTGAGGAAATTTGGAGAAATTCACTTGCTATGAACTGTGTGACATTTAAGAAATTGCAGAAGAGTTGCACAAGGTCTGTAGCATATTTAGGATGGATGCAGGGAAGGATAACCTTACAACTGCTGTTGTCATCTGTGATTGTGTTACATAAATGCCCAGAGAAAGCTTTGTCTCTTGGAAGACATACAAAGGGAATTGCCTGTCCTCCCCTCTCAGCTCTCCTCAGACTGTGACACTTGTGACAAACCCACCTTGACAAACGGGAGGGGGGCTGAGAAGTGTCCTTCAGCCCTTCTGACCTCACACAGAACCACACATCAGAAAGGATTAAATTGCACCACGTATCCTTGAGCAAAAGGGAAGGGTTTTTTCTAACCTCATGGCCATTGTGTAATTGTTGGAAGAAACACATTGAGCTTCCCTATGTGTTGCTGAAGACTAAAAGGAGCACAAACTGGCAAGTGGCAGAAAGGCTTTGGTGTTATCACAGGCAGCTTGGGCTGCACAGGTCAATGGGTGGCAGGAGGAGACTGAACTTGTCTTTATTAAAAGATGGGGAGAGAAGGATACTACTGTTACAGAATTCATCACACGTTCCCTATGAATGCTGTGCTCGTGTTTTGAGGGTGTGGGGAAGACAAGAATGGAAGGCCTGCAGAAGTGATTAATACCTAGGAGGACACTGTGTGAAAGGGGGGACAGACCTGTTAGGAAAGGGAACAGGTTGGTTCAGAGTATCAGTCCAGCATAGGGTGATTGACACGCTTCTGTTTTGCCTCTGGGACTACGGGAATCCCAGAACAGGAAGGCAGCCCCTTCTGGTAGAGGGAGAGCTGGGATTCAAGGTGCGTCATTAACCTTGGGGACATACGAGCTGCTGCCAGATGTGGAGGCAGCAGTTTCTCAGGCTCACCATGTGCCTGCCGTGCTGATGAGGCAGGTCCAGTCAGCTGTGCTTTCGCTCACACCATGGCACTGCCTGGGAGCAGAGCCCGTGCTCGCAGGTCCTGCCAGGGCTGGGTGGCCACACCACGTGAGGTGAAGGTGGTCACAGCCAGGTCCCTGAGGACAGAGTGAACTCCCTCGCTGAGCTGAGCCAAGGGGCTGCTGACCTCGCTGCTGCTGCTTCTCACAGGGAGCATCAGTACCCGGCTGTGATTTGATCATCACACTGCAGCTCTTTCCTGTTGTGTAGGGAACCAGCAGCTTTGTGTAGAAGCTGCTTTCGATCTCTGCAGACACAGAGAGGCAGAACATTTGGCTGCAGAGACAGCATTTGTCTCAGACCTTCTCCATGGTGGTATAGAGACTTGAGGGCTCTTCATGAGCTCGCAGAGTGGAATGTTGGGATGTTGGGTGTGGAGGGGCCATCCAAGCTCTCCCAGCGGCCCACTCTGCTTTGGCTGGTGCACAGCGTCCACTTGCTGTTTCACTGTTGTTATTCTGCAAGAAACTTTGCCAGCACCTTATGGCTGTCAGTCAAGGCACCCCCTGTTCAGTCTGGGCCTGTCGACTCTGAGACCTGCTGGGCTCTTCTTCTGCGCAGCTCCCTTTATCTCTTCTGTCCCTCAGTCCAGGCTGCCTCTCCCTGCTGCGTCAAGTGGGATTGGAAGCTCTATCTCTGGAGTCTGGGCTGCCTGCTGTCAGAAAACATTGTCATCCCATTCTCAGAGACAGCTCTCTGATGAACAGTGTGACTTAATACTGGAATTCACTGCTTAGGAAGAGACAATAAATGCTTGCAAGAGTGGGAGACACTAGCTGGGACAAGGCCTGGGAAAGCCTAGAATGAAACCTCTGGGCTTCTGAGAGGGTGTGCCCTGTCAGTCCTGTAGATTCAACAGGGCGGAAGGATAAGCAGGGCCCTCTGGAGTGCCCAGCAGTGCTCCTGGGAAAAGACAGTGAGTCTTGGTGTCTGGAAGGTGGTTGTTTTTTTTGGGGGGCAGAGTGCTGTTTTATCCGCGTAGAGAGTGAGGGGTGCTGCTTGTTTCCCAGCAATGTCCCTTGCCACCTGAGCTGCAGGTTAGGGGGTCTGAAGGTAAGGCAATCCTTGTCTCCCACCCCACATCTGATCAGAGGGCACACACAGAGCTTTCCTTCTGGGAAGGTACCGCATTGGCAGTGGGTGGTGGGAATAGACAACCTGCCCTTCTGCAAAGGTTCTTGTAGGATGCAGCAGGTCCTTACCAAAGCCTCCTGAGGAGTGACTCTTCCCCCAGTTGAGTTGCAAGCATATGGAGGCAGGAGGTGAATGAGGCAACCTGACGAGGTGTCTGAGTCAGAGCTGGAAACAGACTTCAGGAGTCCCAGCATGTTGTCTTCCTCTGACCACAAAGCTGCCTTTCTCCCTGCCCACCATCTTGGAGGGAGTTTGTGCAGGTGCTGTTCAGCACAGTGTGGAGGTGATGGAGCCAAAGTGGGAAGCTGGGTGATCACTGTTGTCTGGGCTGTTTGCTCGGCCAATTCTCCCTCAGGAAGCACCTGGGGAGCTGCCCTCTGTCTCCTCCCAGCTTGCTCACATTGGACAAGTGGTTTTTAGTGTCTCAGCAAAGTGGAGCACAGTAAGGCTTCTCTTAGAAGCCACACATTGGTAATGGATACAGCCAGGCTGTGGGGAGAGGGTAGAGGCAAAATGCAGGCAGGTTCTCCCCTGGCTGTCTGCTCTCAGCTCTGATCCAGTCGAGGTAGCTCTTGGTCTCAGACGTGTTTGCAGGCAGGGCTGGAGGCAGCTCCACCAACTAAGTGCACATGGCTCCTTCAGTGCTTAGTGAAGAACCAGCACCAAACAACCTTTCCCACCATGGTGCCAGGATGCTTCCCAGCATCCATCTCCAGCACCGTGCTGCCTGATAGTCTGGGAGTCTCTTTGGTTCACTTTCTTTACCTCCTTTTTCCAGGGGTGAAAGATGGAAAGTGGACAGTGCTGCAGCTTGTGGAAGCCCTGGGGTAAGAAAAGCCTTATGCATGTTATACATCAGGTAAGGGCCTTGCAGGGGACATTCCCAGAAGGAGGCACAGTTAGAAGGAAAAGCGTGCTCGTCCAGGATGAGCTTCAGCAATGGTAGACACAGCACAACGCGCAGGATGTTGTCTGCTCACAGCAGAGGGCCTGAGTGGTGTTTTACCCTCCCTAGACATGGGAGCTGTTTGAGAAAGAGAAGAGCTGGAGCAGCTCTTGATGCTCTCCCAGGACCGAGGGGAGGTGTTGTGGCAGGCAGCGAGCTGCAGGGCACTTCTCAGCTGGGGCTGTCCCCAGCAGCAGCTGCCTGAGCACACAGCTGCACAGCACCGTGTCATGAGTTGGCTGGCACTCAGCTTTTGCTTCTGTTTCCAAGCGGTTGTGGCCTGGCCTTTTTTCTCCCAAGGTGGGGGGGTGTGGGTTTGCCCAGCTTGTAAGAGGTTTTACTCTTTTTTGACCCTTGTGATCTTGGGAGCATCATGCAAAGGCAATTTCTTTGGTCCTCCTTGGGGACCTGGATTTCTTTCTGTGTGGCTCTGGGGCACACAGATGCAGCACCATCGGGGCAGAGGAGTCTGCTCCCACCCTGCTGGAAAGTCAGGCAGGATTGGGCCACCCTGCCCAGAGAGTGGCACCTCTTTGTTTTTGTAATGTGTCTGCTCAGGATGTGCTTCCTGCTTTGGTGTCCCTGCTCACAATGGGCCCCTTGGGCTTTCTCCCTACTTGGCCTAGGTTCTGCCTGGAGAACACAGATCCTCGGACACGAGGGCGAGGCATCCAGCTGTTATCACAAGTCCTGCTCCAGTGTTACTCCCTGCTCCAGGAGAAGGAAGGTAAGGGCTGCTCTGGGCCCTCAAGTGGCTGGTTGGGGGCAAAGCCTCTGCCACTAAAGTTTCTGTCCTGCAGTTGGCAAAGGGATTGATTTAGCACCATGACAACTTTGTACACATCTGTCAAGAATCAAAGTTCAAGGAGGGCCTGAGGTTTCACGCTGCAGCCTTTTTGCCAACCTCACCACACAATTCAGGTCACTTTCTGAACATGCCAAAGCCCTGGGCTACAGGGGGTGCCCCTGGCAGTGTGACAGCGTTGCATACCCAGGTGTGCTCAGCGCCACATGGGACACCTTGGGGACACATCTCTGTGTCAAAAATCCTTGGGTGGTGATTCAGTGCAGGAAAACAGCCCTTCACACATCAAGTCATGCTGCAGCCTGCCCATGTTAACTCAGGGGGAACCTCAGTTAACTCGGGGGTCTGGGAAGAAGGGGAGATCAGTGTAAGGATGAGAGTGGAGTGGGGGACCAGAGTGGGGAGAGGAAGATGCCCTGTTCATGGAGGCAAGGAGAAGGTCTGGCTCTGTTAAATGCCCTGTAGCAACTGGCTGGCAGTAGGGGAGGCCAGTAAATGCTGACAGACTTTAGCTTGGACCTGGGAGCCTTGCAGATGGGAAGCTGAACCTCTGCCAGCAGGCTGGCAAGACAGTGGGGCCCAGCTAGTAAGTAAGGTGGAGGAAGGGAAGTATGGAAGTAAAAGGTGCTTAGTCCTTGGTGTTTGGCTCTCTGTAAGGCTCAGAAGTGAGCCAGGCAGGGCTAAGAGCAGCTGTGTGTAGAGACTTATCTACTGGAGTAGCTGGAGTCAGGTGTGATGACTGTGGTGGGAACTGGGGTGCTCTGGAGGGGCAGCCAGAAGAGGGGAGATTCAGTGGGGATGCCTGGCAGAGTCAGGCAGCTGAGTAAGAGGAGTGAGCTCGGTTAGGGCCTCATGTCACTCCTCATGCAGTTCATTTCTCAAGCACTGCGTCAGGCTGCCTCCTGGAGGGGTGAGTTTCTGCAGCAGCTGTGGGCACAGGATGCTGCTAGCCGGCTCTTCCAGTTTGCTTCCTGCTACCACTCCCCAGGGCCGGGGTGTGAAGGTGCCCGTGGCCATGACTCAGGGGCTGGGAACGTGTTGTGGAGCCAAGCGCGAGGAAGCTGGGAAGCCGGAGCTCCTGCTCCAATCCTGAGCCCCACCCGACAATATCCTCCAGCCTCCGCTGAGCAGACGTCTGCCGCTCTGTTGCTGCACATGTCTGGGCAGGCCAGGGCAAATGCCTCTCGGGCAGCTCCAGCATCTTTGCAACAGCCAGAGGTTGCTGCTGCCCTGCTGTGGTCATGCGTGGGCTGCTCACGGGGGGAGGGCACGGTTGTTGGAGCCAGGTGGGTGCACCCAACAGTGGCAGTTCTTCCCATTTAGCAGTGCAAGATGTGCTCGCTCTTAATGCATCAGCTTGTAGTTGAGCTGGGGGCAGCACACAGCAGCTGCATTTCCTGTGGCTAACACACATTGGTGTCTCTTTCTGACAGTGCTGCATCTCGTCCTGTTCTATGAGAGCCGGCTGCAGGACCATCACCTGGTGATCCCATCAGTGCTCCAGGGACTCCGAGCCCTGGTGAGCTCACGCTCCCCAGCCCGCAGTGCAGGGATGCACTCCAGAATGGTGTTGGGAGGTGCAACACCTGGGTACAGGTTGGAGCAGCATGTCAAGCAGGGTTCATCTCTTTCAGCCCATCTGGCAGCACTGCCCTGTCTCCTTTGTGCTCTTGCTATGCCCTTTGCAGAGGAGCCAGGGAGAGGAGACTACCTTGATTTCCTGCCCTGTTCTGGTATTGGGGCAAGGATTCCCTGGCTACCCCGGGGAACAGCACAGATGATGGGCATCTTGTCCTGTCCTGTCTGGGGAGGGGGTGATGAGCTCTCCCTGTTATGGGAGAGGATCCTGCAGGCAGCTGCTGTGTGGAGGCAGGAGCTCTGTTATGTGGCTGCCATAATTGTTTTCTATTCTTGCTTTTTTTCTCCTGTTCCCAGAGCATGTGTGAGGTGCTGTCCCCAGGGCTAGCGGTGTCTGTGCTCAAAGCCATTTTCCAGGAGGTACATGTGCAGGTGAGCGATGTGATTTCCCATCTTCCTTGATCCCTGTTCCCTGTGTGTCTGGGGATGGCCTGCCTGCCCTGAGGACGTCACATTCAGTGCAGTGCTTCTGCAGAGCTTAGAGACAGCATGGCTCACTGTAGAGCGAGAGGCAGACAGCAGCTGAGGATCCTGGTTGGCCCTTGTCCTCTCTTCTCTCAACCCTGGGGGAATTACTCCCTTTGGCTCCATTCTCCAGGCTATATTTAAGTGCCCCCAGCCCAATTCTCCTCCAATTTAGGATTGTTTATGCTGGCACTGCCTTGGACGTAATGCATGGCCCTGATGTGACTGATGGTGCATTCATGCAGTGATGGACACAGTCATGTTCAGGTGCCATTGCATAGGCATGTGCACACTTTACATGTGATAAATGGGATCTGCATGCCAGGAAGCAGCAGCTGAGCTTCTGGGGGTCCTGCCTTCTCCTCAAGGGCATGTGCTGCCTGTGGGTAGTGGTGCTGCCATGTGTAAAGAGTGGTTTTGATTGCTCTGCTCCTCCCTCCAGTCCTTGCTGCAGCTGGACCGACACACAGTCTACAGCATCATCACCAACTTCATGAGCACCAGGGAGGAAGGTGAGGGGGCAGATGCCAGAACCACTCTGGGGTTGCTGAGACTGGGAAAATGGCTCGCTTTTGCCTTCTCCAAGGGCTCTGTGGCTGGGAGAGCTGGAAAAGGACTGTGGGGCTGGGGAAACTGGGCTGATTTAATGCCATGTTGGTATGGTCTAGTGTCCTGCACCTGCTCATGCCCCTTCTTTCTGCAGAGCTGAAGGGCCTGGGTGCCGACTTCACCTTTGGCTTCATCCAGGTCATGGACGGAGAGAAGGATCCCCGCAATCTGCTGGTGGCCTTCCAGATCGTGCGTGATCTCATTACCAAGGACTATGCCCTGGGTGAGCCTGAGCCTGCTGCTGAGCTGACTGGGAGACATGTCCCTTTTCTTTGAGCCATTAGAGGGATGGCTCTTGAGTCTGGCCAGGGGTGGGGTCGTCCCTGATGTGCTTTAAGAGCTGCAGAGCCAGCCTGTCATGGGTGCTAGACACAGCTGCTGGGCCTTTCTTGCCCAGCATCTCTGCTCACTCCCTCTTCTCCTCCCTGCAGGTCCCTTTGTGGAGGAGCTGTTTGAAGTAACGTCCTGCTACTTCCCTGTTGATTTTACTCCAGTGAGTGAGTCTGCCCTGTGCCTATTCCTTCTGGTGTTTTCTCAGAGGGTTGTGTCCCCTTTGTGGAATGGGAGGAGAGGGTGGGCAAGAGTCTTAGCTGGGCAGTGTTGAGCTGTGGTACCCAGCTGGACAGGCTGGTGCACAGCTGACTGCAGTGACTGGCACTGCTGCTGCCTTGCTAGAGATGAGGCGATGCAGCCTCAGCTGATGGCTGGGTTGGGATGTTTCCTGACTGGTGGGTGACCTGCTCTCTGCTTCCTTTCCAGCCCCCCAATGATCCTCATGGCATCCAGAGAGAAGACCTGATCCTGAGTCTCCGGGCTGTATTGGCCTCTACACCCCAATTTGCTGAGGTAGGGGGTTCTTGTGCACCCTCGTTCCCTGAGCACAGGCTGCCTTTAGTAGTGCTGCAGCTCCTGCTGTGGCTCTGTGGGATGGAGGCAACTGGGACCAGGAGCTTGCAGTAGGGCACTCTGTCTTCTGCTGGGACCAGGCATGGAGAGAGCGCTCCTGGGAAGGATCTGCCTGTCGCAGCTACCCCTCCACCTCTGCTCTCCTGGCAGAGGCTGAGCTTGCAGCCCTGCGGGGCCATGGATGAGGTGGTGCAAAGGTTGGGCTGAGTGTAAGTGCCTCTCTCTGCAGTTTCTTCTCCCTCTGCTTATTGAGAAGTTGGACTCAGAACTGCAAAGTGCCAAGCTTGACTCCCTGCAGACTCTGGTAAGGAGGGCTCCCCTACTCCCTTCAGCCTACAGCTGGCCTGTGGCAGCAGCAGCTGCCAGCCAGCTCTGAGCCCTTGTCCCTGCCTGCCAGAGACTCTCCCTTGCAGACCCACAAGTTCCAGAGTCCTGGTTTAGCCTGCACCACTCTCTCCTGTTTTTCTCTCTCTCGGGTGATTTGTGCAGCTCAGCCTGAGCCTGCCAGGATGGGCAGTGTCGCTGCATTGTGTCCTCCTGATACTGGCTTCTCTGTGATGTTTTCTCCTGGCTCCTTCTTGCAGACTGCCTGCTGTGCCATCTACGGGCAGAAGGAGCTGCAGGAATTCCTCCCCAGCCTCTGGTCATCCCTGCGCAGAGAGGTGAGTACTGCAGGGCTCCACCACAGCTGGGCTTCTGTTGAGCAGGAGCTCATGGCCAGACCAGGTGGGCCCCATATCTCCCAGCAACCTGCACCTGTGACCTTGAACAGCCCCAGCTGAAAAGTGGAGGGGACAGGCCAGCCCTATCAGCATGTCCCTGGGGCTTGGATGTGCCACACACATCACATGTTCAAATCACATGGGAAGTGAGGCGAGAGCCTGAACCCTTCAGCCTTGTTCGGAGCCTGAAGCCTGTGGTTGGGATCAGCATGGAACTCAGGTAGTTCCATGGCCTCTCCTGCAGGTGTTCCAGACAGCGAGTGAGAAGATTGAGACGGAATGCCTGGCTGCACTGCATGCCCTCTCTGCCTGCCTCTCCCGCTCCGTGCTCAGCTCTGATGCCGAGGATCTGCTGGATTCCTTCCTCAGCAGCATCCTGCAAGGTAGCTAGCAGAGAGACTTACCCTGTCCTTGAGCAGCTAGGCCTGAAAGCATCCTCCTAGCTAGAGATCTGCCCTCCTCTTCTCTTTCAAGCCTTTCTTCTCTTTCTAGCCCTCACAGCCACTTTCATCTTCTCCAAGGTAATTGGCTGCAGGAAGGGAGGAGAAGGGGATTGAGCTGCTTTCCTCTCTGCTGGGATTGGGTGTCCAAAGCTGTGCTATGTGCTTGCAGCTGTGAGAAGCTGCTCAGATAGGAAGGCTGTGCTGCAGTGCAGAGCTGCGCCCCAGCAGCACGTCCCAGCCCAGCTATCAGCTGCGTTCCCGCACGCGAGGCAGGGGAGCTCTGCGCCGGTGCAGCTGACGCCCAGCCTATCTCAGATTGCAGGCACCATCTGTGTGAGCCCGACATGAAGCTGGTGTGGCCCAGTGCCAAACTCTTGCAGGCAGCAGCGGGTGCCTCCCTCCGCACCTACTACCGTGTCACCCGCAGTGTCCTGCCCCTGCTGCTGGAGCAGTACACCAAGCACCCGCAGGTGAGGGTCACCCTGGCTCTGCCAGCACAGGCAGTGGGGCTAAGTGCACCCACTGGCTATGCAGGGCTTGGTGGGAGCAGGGTGTCTAAGTGGATGCCCTTCCGTGGTCCCATGGGCACCCTGTGGCCTCTCAGCACTGGGCCAAGGTGCAGCTGTGTCCCAGCAGTGAGGGTGATCTGGGTTATGCCTTTGTGTCCCTGTAGAGCAGCCAGAGGAGGACAATCCTGGAAATGCTGCTGGGCTTCCTTGAGTTGCAGCAGAAGTGGGGACATGTGGAAGAAGGTGAGGGTGGCTGGTTGCTCTGGAGGCACCCGTGTCCCAGGGACTGCTGGTTCTGACCTCACTTTCCTGTATGTTGACAGACAAGGAAAGTTCACTGATAAGGGTGGTTGCATGTACGACCCCCTGCCATCTCCCGAGATCCTTGCATGGTTGGGTGTCAACTGCAGGGCCCCAGAAAGGGTCTGTCAGGTGCCGTGGTGGTGGCTGTGCAGTGACACCATGCCCCTCTCTCCAGATGAGAGCACTCTGCTGTCACTCCAAGGCCCGGTTTGTTCTGTGGTGTTCTCAGCGCTGACGGATCCCAGTGTGCAGCTGCAGTTGGTTGGGATCAAGGCACTGACTCTCCTGGGCTCCCTTCAAGGTTGGTGCCTTGTTTCCCTTGGGGAGGCAGAGGGAGGTGTCACACTCTTCTGGGAGATTGGGATGTCCTTGTCTGCTGCCTGTAGGAGCAGTCGCAGCATTTTCTACCTAAGCCATGAGCACTAGGGACACTTGGTCTCTCTCTTGCCTGTTTTTGCTGGGTACTTTGTATCTCTGGCATTTCGTATGCTGCTGTGATGCTGCTAGCCTGGATGAGGGGGAAGGATGCTGGCCAGAACACCGGCATCTTTGCCTTTGGCTGAGGGCAGTATTCCTCTACGGCTCTTGTTCCAGGCTTCTTGTCTTCCTCTGATCTGGAGCTGGTTGTGGATCACCTCATCCGTCTCGCTCTGCATGAGGAAGATTCCCAGAGCAGGTGAGGGATGGGCTGGCACCACTGCAGTCACCCACATTCTGGGAGGAGGAACAAATCCTGGCTTTGCTGCAGAGACGAGCTATAGTCTGGGGAAGGCACAGGAACTCTCTGAACTAAAAGACCATGTGGGATAAACCAGGCAATTCATGGGCTGGAAATTAGAAAGTCTGGGCCTGTCAAATCAGGGAGCTCTGCTCTGCCTGCCAGAAGGGTGAAAAAGACAAATTGCTGAGAAATGAGTTTCTGGAGGCACCTTCAGGTCTGTGCAGCTGGTGTACAAGCAGGCCCAAGTTTGCAGTTCTCGTGTCATCTTTCCCGCTCTCTTCCCATCCTGGCAGTGAAGCAGCGATGGAGGCAGCTGGGTCCTTGGCCCCCATCTACCCAAATGTTTTCTCTGGACACATGGTACCCAGGCTTGAAAAGGAGCTGCAGTCAGGTAGGGCTGAGAAGGGAGCAATGTCTGGTTTTGGAGTGAAGCTTGTCCTATCCCCATTCAGTTCCTGCCAGGCAGTGGGGCTGTGCCACACGGTGTAGGTTGGTGGCTCTCCTTGGGGTATTCCCAGTGTGTTGGCACAGGGAAGGCTGTGGCTGTCAGGCAGCCAGCCCATGTGGCCAGGATCACCCTCATGGGGAGGAGCTGCCCAGCTGCAGAGCAGGCAGAGTGCCTTAGGCCTGGCACAGGCTGGGTCGGCTGTGCTGCCTCACCCCATCCACCCTGGCAGGGTCTGGTCCCTGACTGCCCTTGGGTGAGGCAGCCTGGGGACACCCCAGTCCCCCCCTGAGGTGTGTTTCCTCTTCAGAGCGGGAGGAGAGCTCCCACAGCCACTGCTCCCTGCAGCAGCGCTGCCTGCAGGCCCTGGCAGCCGTGTCCACCCACACCAGCATTGTGAGGGAGACTGTCCCTGTCCTGCTGCAGCATCTCCAGAAGGTGCAGAAAGGTAAAGGAGCCACAGCGGGCAGCTCCATGAAGTATGTCTGGGCAGGAGCTTACCTCTGTTACTGGTGATGGCTGGGAGAGTCAGAGTGGAAGTTGTGCAAGGAGCCCAGGGCATGGTTGTGAATCCCACCGGTGGCGTGGGAGTCAGGAGGGCTGCCTTGTCCTGGGTTCCTGGTGCAGATCAGGGGGCTGGGTGCTGAGGCTGTTTGATGTGATGGTGACTGTGCTCTGCAGGGAGCGAGGCCAGGAACACCCAGGACGTGGTCTCTGTGTGCCAGAGCCTGCACCGTGTGGCCCTGCAGTGCCAGCAGGATGCAGAGAGCTGCTGGTACTTCCACCAGACGGTGGTGCCATGCCTCCTGGCCATGGCTGTGCAGGCAGCCATGCAAGGTAAGTGTAGGGCTGGAGTGGGAGAGGGGAGGGCAGGCAGCTCCCAGGCTCTCTGGAGTCCCTGACTCTGCAGTCAGCACTACTGCTGATGCCCTCCAGCACCCATGGGTGACTGTGGGCCCTGCTGCTCCATCACACTGCCCCAGAGCCCTGCCCCAGTCCAGTGTGGGTTCAGTGAATTGTGCCTGCCTCCTCCCTCTGGACAGCAGGCTCCAGCAAGTTCCTTTCCTCCCACTACCTGCAGAGAGCACCCACCAGCTGCTGGGCAAGGCACTGCTGGAGGAAGAGGTGCTGGCGGCCATGGTCCCTGTCATCAGCGCTGCCACCACTCACCTGAGCCCTGAGTGAGTGATGCTTGGGTGGGAAGCTGGACACTCCATCATGGGGAGGGGGCAGGCCATGTGCCTCCTGCTGCCATCTGTGCCTCCTGGGAGGTACGGGAGCTCTCTGGTAACCCTCCCAGAGCAGCACATTGCAACATTTCTTTTCTCCTAGGCTGGCTGCCCAGAGCGTGTCTCATGTGGTCCCCCTCTTTCTGGATGGAGAGGTCTCCTTCCTACCCCAGAACAGTTTTCCTTGCTCCTTCCAGCCTTTTGGGGTGTGTTTGGTGACTGGGGCTGGGGCACCAGAATGGGCAGAGAATGAGGATGTTGGCATAAGCTGGCAGTAAGGACTGTGACATGGGCACTGTTCTTCCCTCACAGGATGGGGAGTGCTTGGAGGCACAGAGACGCCTGGTCGCCCTCCTCATGGCCTTCGTCTGCTCCTTGCCCCGCAATGTATGTTCATGGGGAGCAGGGTGGAGAGGAGCCCTGCCCAAGCACCCTCCAGCCTGTGTCCACAGGCAAGCTCCACAGACAGGAGGAGGGAGCAGTTGTAGCCCTGGGCCATAAAACAATCCATGTCTTTTCCAGGTGGCAATTCCTCAGCAGGAATGGTTGCTCCGGGAGCTGCTGGCACTGAGCTGCTCCTGCAACTGCCCTTTCACAGCCACCACAGCTGCCAAGTGCTTTGCAGGGCTGGTGAACAAGCACCCAGCAGGTAAGTGAGCTGGGGTAGATGCCGTGGGTCCCTGCCCACTGCTGGCAGAGGGAGTGGCTCAGCCTGTCCCTTCTGTGTCCCCAGGGCAGCAGCTGGATGAGATCCTGCAGCTTGCAGTGAACAGGATGGAGCCTGGCCTTGCGGAGGGACCCTGCCGAATGCAGGCACTCACCTTGCTGCTCTGGGTAAGGCCTACCCTGGGTGTGTGAGCCAGAGGGGCAGGGGGGGCCAGCCTGGCCTTGACTGTTCTGCCTGCACAGGTGACCAAAGCCCTGGTGCTGCGCTACCACCCCCTGAGCTCCTGCCTGACAGACAAGGTAGGCAGTGGTGGGGCTGGGTAGTGTCTGAGAAACCTGCCTTGCTCCCCTACATCTGGCTGGGGACCCCCAGCAGCAGGGCACTCCTTCTCAGGGCTCTCTCCCTCGCAGCTGCTGGGCCTGCTGGGTGACATGGAGCTGGGCCCAGCTGCGGCCGACGGCTTCTCCCTGCTCATGGCAGAGTCCCCGGATGTGCTGCACAAGGGCTGCCACGCCGATGTGCGCATCATGTTCCGCCAGCGCTTCTTCACTGACAACGTCCCCAAGCTGGTGCAGGGCTTCCACAGGGCTGGTCCCGGTGAGAGGCCACCCCTAGCCCGGCCTCACCACCCCTGACCCCTTACCCAGGGGACCTGAGCCAGCATCCCCTCCTTCTCCCGGCTGCTTGTGACCATCTCTGCTTTCCACAGACGTGAAGGCCAATTACCTGAAGGGCCTGTCCCATGTGCTCAACCACCTCCCCAAACCTGTGCTGGTGACAGAGTTGCCCACGGTAAGAGCCAGCCTTGGCGGCAGGCAGGGGGAGCTGTGACACTGTGGAGTGCATGGTATGGGGTTATTCATGACTCCTGTGTCCTTCCCTCTCTGCAGCTGCTTTCCCTCCTGCTTGAGGCCTTGTCCTGCTCAGACCGTGTGGTTCAGCTCTCCACACTGAGCTGCCTCCAGCCGCTGCTGCTCGAAGCTCCCCAGATCATGAGCCTGCATGTCGACACACTGGTCACCAAGTTCCTCAACCTCACCTCCAGCCCCACCATGGTGCGTGCACCCCCTCCTTCCTCCCTGCCATGCCACTTTCCGTCACCCCCTTGTGCTGCCCTCAGCCCTGTCTGTTCCAGGCTGTCCGCATCGCTGCCCTGCGCTGTGCCCATGCGCTCACCTGCCTGCCCACACCAGTGGTAAGTGCTCCTGCAGCACCCTGATGCCTGCTCCTGCATGTAGAGGGGCAAGGGGGTCCCAAACCTCCTGGGGGGCAGCCAGCACCCAGTTCTCTCACTAAGATCCCCTTCTGTCCTACAGCTGCTCCCATATAAGGCCCGAGTTATCCGGGCACTGGCCAAGCCTTTGGATGACAAAAAGAGACTGGTGCGGAAGGAGGCGGTGGCAGCACGGGGGGAATGGTGAGTGTGTGTGGCAGGAGCTGCTGGGGGGGAGGGTGCCCGCATGTACAGAACACAGCTGATGACACCATCTCTGTCCCCACAGGTTCCTGCTGGGGAGCCCAGGCAGGTGAGTGCCCTGCATCCCCTTCCTGTGCTGACCGACAATCTGACTGGTGCCCTGCTAACCTGCCAAGCCATCCAACTGATGCCATGGATCCTCAAGAGCCCAGTCCTGCCCTGAGTGCCAGGGCTGGAGCACGGAGGCCAGCAGAAAGCACCTCTCACTGCAGCACCTTCCCGGCACCCACAGCAGGGAAGGAGCTGTGCTGCTCATGGCTTGTCCACCCTCTGCTGCAGCCAGGGACAGTGATGGACAGACCCGCCACATGTGAGTGGAAAGGACAGGTCTGTGCACACATGTGGTGTGTGATAACCCACGTGCCAGAGGAATAAATATATCTGTTTTGGTAATGCTCCGAGGGTCTCCATGCAGCTTGGGCTGGGACTTCAGTGCCCTTCTGTATGTTGAGCAGCTTAAGGTGCTGCTGGTTATATGCCCTTTATCCTCTTTTCACACTGGGGAAAAATGGGGCTCCCTCTCCTCTCATCCCCAGAAGTCTGTGCCCCCAACAAGGAAAAAAAGCCAGACGCCCTTAAAAAACAGTATTTAGTGGATGGTCTCAAAAAGGCTCCCTGGGGAGTACTTGGGGGACAGGGGTGCCATCCTCTGTGCCCAGCGCTCTGGAGAGTTGAGCTGGGCCTGTGCTGGCCTGTACCTGCATGAGTGAGGGCAGCACCTTCAGCTGGAGTGGGGAGTGGCAGCTCTGCTGCCTTCCCCTGGGGCTGCCTGCAGCCACCAAGAGCCAAGAGGGCAGGCATCCAGGCACCGACACTGTCCATGGAGTTTCCCGTGGCTCTGGCCCCAGTCAGCAATATGTGCCGGCACCAGCCTTCTGCCAGGCACTTGGGCCAAAGGGAGCCGCAGCGGTGGAGCAGGTCCCCCGTGCGCTCCCCTCCTGCGGGGAGGGACGTCTGGAGCACTGGGCCTCAGATGGCCAGGAGCGGTGCGCGGTGCTCCGTCACGCAGGGAGGCAGGTCCCAGCTCAGGCCTGTCCCGTGGGGCAGGTGAGGAGAGGGCAGCAGGACCCGGGTGAGCCAGTGCCTGTGGGGAGAGGAGTGAGGCCACAGACAAAACCTGAAATCTTGGTGCTTCCATGCTCTAAGGAGCCAAGCCAGGGCTGTGAGCCATGTCCTGAGCTGCTGCAATGGCTGAGCTCCTCGGCTGGGATTCTCTTGGCAAAGGTGTGCTGGGCAGGTCACACCTTGTCACTGGGCAGGACTCAGGAGCCACAGGGCAGATGTGGCCTACTGTGCCTTACAAAGCCCAGAGTAGTGCAGAGCTACTCTCCCCCAGCTACCCAAAGAGGTTCCCTGTTGTCCCCACACCCCATAAGCTGCTGAGCCACCACCTTCTCGGGCAGAGGCTTCCCTAGGGCTCTTACCTTGGCACATCCACACCCAGGAACACCTTCCAGTTATCCCAGCTGCCATAACTATAGGGGTTCCTAAAGACCTGCAGGATGGGGAGAGGTACATCATGTCTGGCTCTGCTCTGGCCAGCCCCGCAAGCCATGGGCTGTGCTCACCTTGCCTTTCTTCTGCAGTCTCTGCCTCTCCTTTCTGTTGATATGCCGCTCAATGCTGGTTTCCCCACGGGTGATGAGGGCAGCGTGCCACAGCGTGAGGGCACCCAGGGCCAGTGCAACCGAGCTGGGAATGACAAAGGACTGCAGGTTGGCCTCAGGCCTTCCCGGTGTTGCAGCTGGCGGGAGCTGAGGCTGCCTCCCCACACCCACAGCCGTGTAAGTGGGTCGGCTTGTCTAATCCCCTTTGACAGAGCAATACTGTTTCTCCTCCTCTGTGGCTTGAAGGCTGGCAGGGCAGGGACGTCTGCACTAGAGCAAGCAAGGCCAGCTTGCAGGCAGATGGAGGGCGAGCAATGTCACAGGCTTCATGCTGTTTCCCCCAGCCCCTGGGCCCCCTCACCTGCACAGGACCCAGAGGTAGACCACGCTCTTGTGGAAAGCTCGCTGGCGGAAGGAGAAGGTGGGTGGTGGGGTCTGGTAGTAGGTCTGAAAAAGGATCAGAGGAGGGGGGATTACCCAAAATGCTTTATGGCTTGAAGCCAGACAGGGACTACTGCACCACTCACTGCTGCAGAGCTTGGACAGCAACAAAGGACTGCAACTGGAACTAACACAACAGCCAGGGTGAGGGAGAGGCAGCCTAAGACAGCCATGAGACAGACAGACAGATACCCAGAGCTGGCACAGGCATGAGGAGCAGTGGGCTGGAGGTAAGGAGTCAGGGAGCAGCCATAGGACTGGTCAGGACCCCGCAGCTGATGGTCAGGGTGAGATGTGTACCCAGTGCTGCAGCTTCCCCGGGAGACCATGGTCTGAGCAGCACATGCCAAGCAGCTGTCACCAGCCCAAGCCCCGGGAAGCTGGGTGCACAGAGAGGCAGACCCCAAGCTGCTGGAGGCAGTGTCTGTAGCAGAGCTGCCTGGCCAGCTGCAGCTCTCTGACATGTGAGATGAGCATGGGGGCTGGTTCTGATGTGGGGTACTCCTTGAGACTAGGGCCCCAGGCAGGACCCAGCCTGCAGAGCAGCTCTGCTCCACACAGCCTGGAGTAGCTGGGGGGCAGGGATGTCCCACCTGGTTGGCAGCCACCTGCAGTCTCTCCTTGTCAAGCAGTTTCATTCTCTAGGGGGATGGAAAACGGCACCAGTTATGTGTCTCGGAGGAGAGGGGCAGGGGCCCTTCCCCTCACACCCCCACAGAACCAGAGCAGCTGGGGGCCTCGCAGGAGGAGGGAGAGGGAAAGCAAAGTCACTACATGGTTGGGCCTGGCCCAGCCTTGCTCTGCAAGCTCAGCCTGGGGAGCCCAGGCAGCCTCAGTGCATGGCAGGTGAGGGCCGGGGCCTGCCTGCTCACCTCGATGGCTGCATAGGCATCCCGGAACATCTCCCAGCCGCTGATGCTGCAGTAGATGCAGCCCATGGTCATGAAAAGGCAGAAGGAGAAGAAGTAACGGTGGTTGTAGTGTCCCACACAGTTGTTTAACCAGGCTGCCTCTGGGGTTAAAGGTACTTAACTGTGACAGACCATGGGTTCAAACCCACCCCAGGGACCACCCGTTCCTGTGCTGGCTGACTCTCCATGAGAGGAGTAGGGCAGCAAGAGAAGGGGAAAGCAGGGCCAGCTGCCCCCAGGAGAGTGCCCTTGGTCAGTACTGCAGAAGGATACGGCAGTGGTGGTCCATCTTCAGCACGCACCTGGGAGGGAAGAGAGCAGCGCCAGTGTCAGAGCCAGCGCAAGCGCTGTGTTTGGGAGGAGACAGGCGCCCCCCAGCTCTGTGGGCTGCAAGAGACAGGGCAATGAGCCAGCAGAGCAAAGGGGAAGGGCCCCTATCTTGTTGTGGGACAGGAGGCAAGGAAAGGGGCAGAGGGAGGGTGCCCTACCTGTTGCAGATGCTGCAGTGGTGGGTGCGAGCTGGCTTGGGGGCAATGCATTTCCTGCAGATGGAGACGCCGGTAAGGTCATTCTTGGCCTGTGCACAGGTCAGAAGAGATTTGTGCACCTAAACCCTGCACCTCTCCCCTGCACCTCACACTCCTCAGCCCCCCTGTGATCCCTCTGCCTCCCCCCTCTGCACTGCCTAGCCTAGTTTCCAACCTGGAGGAGGCCGCCTGCAACACCACCACCAGGCTGTTTCCAGCGACCATCTGTAGCTAGTCCCCAGTGTCCAGCTGGGAGAGGCTACGCTGACACTTAGTGCCTCACCTGTGGTGGGTGCCCTGGTGAGGTGGTGATGGCCATGTAGTAGTGGAAGACAATCATGATGAGGTTCCAGTGTCCATAGGCGAGGTGCCAGCAGATCCAGGCAGGTGTGTAGGTCTGCAGGATGAGGGGCAGCAGGCAGATGTACACGATGGCCACAATAGAGCTCGTCAGCCCGATCACCAGTGCCACAAACACCTACGGGAAAGGGGCCTGGGTCACTGGAATGGGCAGTGCCTGCCCCTCACTGCCTGGGGAGAGGCATGGGCAGGACATGGCCACAGGAACCAATATGAACTACACACTGAGGTCCCAGCTCTCTTCCTGCCTGGAGCACAGGCACTCCTGAGGCTCAGTTGCCCCAGCAGCACAGTAGTCCCAGTGCTGGGTGTGCCCTGCCCAGTGAGAGGTGGTCACCACGCCAAGGGGACTCACCACGCCGAACCACCGGGTGACGTGGTCCACCAGCCAGTAGACGGGCTCGAAGAGGGAGTCCAGCACCACATCACCGTTGGTGAAGGAGTTGTAGAGCAAGGAGCGGAGGCAGAGGTGCCCGTAGTGCCACAGCTGCTCCACCTGCCGCACCAGCTTGAAGCGCCGCCGCCGGCCCAGCCGCAGGCACTTGAGGAGCAGGCGCATCACCGCGGCAAACATCCGCTGCCGGCTCCTCATCCCTGCCACACCACGCCTGGGGGGACAGGAGCTCGGTGTGGGCAGGCTGCCCTGCTGCCTGGCTGTCCCTTGGGAAGGGTCTCCCCTCCCAGATGTGCTGATGCCAGTTGAGCAGCTCCCTGAGCTGACAAGGATGCAGAGCCAGAGGAGCTGAGCCCAGGCTCTGGGAAGCTGTGGGGCCAGTGTCACTGGGATGTGTCTCTGCGCAGAGCGGGGGGCACAGGCCCCTCAGCATCTGGGCTCAGGTGCTCTCTGGTCCCATCTCGTCTTTCCCAGCGGGGAGGGGGCCGGGGGAGTGACACGGAGAGTCTGACTCAAAGGAAACCAGAGAAGACATGAGCATCCAGGATGCTGGGCCAGCTCCAGGGATGATCCCAGCACTTCCCAGTAGGTTCAGGAACAGGAGAACCCACACAAGACATACACGGAGGAGCCAGTACAGGATTACCCCTCCTCCCCTAGTCCCTCCATAACCCTAAAAAGTAGGATGCTACTTACTTTCACCTCAGCCTCTGGACCAAGCAGCAGAGGCCACCCTGTGCCCTTCTCAACCTCACAGCCCCACTCCAAGAGTCCCAACACTTTCTCCTTCTCCTTGCCTGGATCCTCAGACAATGCCATGCACCAGTGAAGGAGTGGCCCCGGGGCAGCCCCAGGCCGATGCTCCCCTGGCTGCTGAGCCCCCATCCTGACCAGGAGCTCTGTTGGGAGTCATGAGGAACCTGATCTGGGAAAACGATCCGCAGGGCTGGTGCCCCTGGGCCTCTGTATGGGCAGTACCATCAATATTAAGCAGCAAGGCTGCCCCGGGGTCCTGCCAAGGCACGTTTCGAGCCTGGGCCAAGTAGTTGCCTTGGAGCAGTGCCAGGCAGTGGTGCCAGAGCTCAGAGTCCCTCCGACAGGGATCGTCTCTCTGCACTGCTGTGCCCACCAGCACAGCCGCTGGGGAGCAGCGAGGAGGGCAAGGGCAGGTTCTCCACCATCCAGATGGACTAACAAAGGGCTCTTCTCTGCCCTGCCTGAGGAGCGTGGGGCTGATCCCACAGTTGGGAGCTGCTGGACACGAGGACCCCAGACTCAGCAGCCCACTCCAGATCCCAGGTATGGCTCCTGCTCATATTTTCTGTTCCCTGGTAAGGGAGAGGTGGGATATATGAATCCCAACACCACCCTCTCCTCTATGTTTTCTCATGAGTCTGCCAAGAGCTTTTCCCTGAAACTCATCAGGTGCAAAGTAGAGCAACAACTTCCTGCCCTGCAGCCTTTGGGTGGCACATGTGCCTGTGTTGTCACTGTGGTAAGAGACAAAATGCTGCACCCAGCAGCAAGTGCTGAGGTCAGCCCTCCCCTCCAAAGATACAGCATGTCCCTCTCCCTTGGAGAGGCTTCCTCACCTACAACAGCCAGCAATTGTTGAGCAGGGAGCCCACAGGGGAGGCAGCCACCCTGCTCCAGGGCAAGACCCCCCTCTGTCCCCAGACACCTCTCTGCAGACAGCAGCACAACCACAGGGAGGAGGCTCCAGCAGAGCCACACATCTTCCTCTGCCCAGCCAGGCACTGGCATCCAGCCCTCGCCCTGCCCATCGCCCTCCACACATCCCAGCGGCGCACCGAGCCCACGGAGATGGGACAGCAACCACCAGCAGAGCCAAGACCACGGGCAACATCACAGCCCAGGGGTGGGGAACTGTCGCTTTGGCACCATCCCAGGCACAGACGGGGCCCTGGCTCCTGCCTGGTCCAGGCACACAGGCGCAGCCCTGTGGCACCCCCCGGTGGCTCCAGAGCGCCCGGCTCCCCCTGTTCAGCAGCACCCAGCTCTACAGCGCCGTGACACTCCCGGCACTCCGCCCCATCCTCAAGGGCTGCCCACGCCGACAGCAGAAATCCCTCAGCCCCACCGCACCACTAGGCACTCCTCGCCCCGCAGCACCTCCAGGCCCGCAGCTTGCCCAGCACTGCATCCCATCCCAACCGCACCCTCAGGGCGACAGCCCCCCACCGCCCTCCGGGCCCGCCCCAGCACCTCCTGCCCCGCAGCACCCGCAGCATCCCCAGCATCCCCCGCCGCCTCCCGGCCCCCGCACTCCGCGCCCCACAGAACCGCTGTACCGCCTCCCAGCCCGCCCAGCCGCTCGGCACCCGCAGCCCCTGCGGGCCCCCAGCTCCTCGCAGGGCCCTGCCAGCCCTGCCCGGCGCCGCCGACCTGCACCCGCCGCCGCCCGGCGCCCGCCACCCGCCGCCTCCATGCCCGGCCCCGCCGGCCCACGGGCAGCGCCCGCGCACGGCACGTCGGGAGCGTCTCCCCCGCCACCGGACTACAGCCCCCAGCAGGCAGCGCGCCCGGGCTCCGTGCTGAGTAGGAGAGAACCAATAGCCGCGCCGCTTACAGCGCGGCCTTGCCGCCAGTCACCAATGAGGTGAGGGCTTTCTGGGGAGGCCCTGCCGGTAGTGAACATGGCGCCCCCCTCGCGGTACTGCATCCCTGGTGAGTGCGGCCCGGGGCTCCCGCGGCCGGGGCTGCCCGGGGAGGGGGACGTGGTGGCCCGGGCGAGTAGTACAAGTGGAGGCACTAGGGAGGGGGCTGCCCCGGGGATGTCCAGCATTGGGCCGGTTGGGAGCGGGCGCTGTGCCCGGGGCGGTGCGGTGCCCAGATGCCCTGGCAGCCCCTGAGCCCCGGTCTCGCAGGTGAGCGGCTGTGCAGCACGGAGGAGGCCACGGCTGGCAGCGGGACCTACACCCGACACGGCTTCATCTTCTCCTCGCTGGCCGGCTGCCTGGAGCGGAGGAGCGAGGACAGCGGGGTGAGCGCGGCCGCGGCTCAGCTGCTCCTCGCCGGGGCTGGCTGCCGTGCGCCCGGGCTGCACAGCCTCGCCGAGGACGAGGCTCTGGCGGGGAATTGGACTGCGACGGGGTTCGGCCGGTGATTCTGACTTCGTGTCTTGCCCCGCAGCTGCCCGTGGTGTCGGTGGTCAGAGACAGTGAGTCCCAGCTCCTGCCCAACGTGGGGGCCGTGGTGACATGCAAGGTGGGGCTCCGGAGCGCTGCGGTGATGAATTGCCTTGGCTCTCTCTGCCTCATGTTGAGCTTTGTTCTTGCACATGGATGAGGCGGGATGAAGAGCCCTTGGCTCGTTAGTCCGCCCTATACAAGTCCTAGCAGGGCAGAGGCAGCCCAGGGCCTCCCTTGGTTCCCTCGCTCACAAAGAAAGTTGATACTGGCATGGGGGACACCTGCCCTGAGGTTGAGGGGAGGTTTTTCTTTGCTCTCCCTTCCAGAACTCTTTCTGGGGCAGGGAGTGTGCAGGTCAGTGCCTGGGGCAGCTTAGAGAAAGGCTGGCACAGACCAGGGATTAGTTTCCTTACATTCCTGAGGAGGGGGAGAGGGACTGGGGTCACAGCAGGTCTCTGCCTTATTTGAGTGCCTGGAGTCGCCCAAGTATCGTCTTCCTTGCCCAACTCACTGCCAGGTATCCCGCCACTGCTTGGTCACAGGGAGGTGGAGTGAGACCTGAGCTCCCCATGCAGCCCTATCCTGCCTGCTCCCTGCCCTTTCCCTGCCTAGACTGGGGTGCTGGCACTGATTTCCCCTTTTCTCATGGGCAGGTCTGCAGCATTAACTCTCGCTTTGCCAAGGTGCACATCCTGTATGTTGGCTCCACACCACTGAAATCCACCTTCCGAGGGACCATACGGTAGGGAGAAGGCTGGGATCCCCCACCCTCCATGGGAGAGAAAGGCTGTTGTGAGCAGTGCAGCTGAGTGTCCTGGCTGGAGTTCTGCCCTGAGCACTGGGCAGGTGTCCAGCAGGTCTTGGCCAGTGCCCAGGGAGGCTGTGGCAGCTCCTGCCACAAGCTGTCAAGGCACCTTTGCTCTTTGGCATTCAGATCCCTCCATCTCATTTTCAGGAGAGAAGATATCCGAGCCACGGAGAAGGATAAGGTCAGTGAGGCACTACCGCAGCTGCCCCTGCTTTTTGCTGGTGGGGGCCCCAATCCCTCCTGCTGACGGTGCCCCCGTGCAGTGCAGTGTTCCCTGCTCTCTCCTGTGCAGGTAGAAGTGTACAAGAGCTTCCGCCCTAGTGACATCGTCCTGGCCAAAGTCGTATCCTTCCCCCTCAGGGACAGTGGGTTGGCTCGAGCCCCCTCGGGAAAGTCTTTCCCTTAACCCCTGTCCGACCAGATCTCCCTGGGGGACGCACAGTCCAACTACCTGCTTAGCACGGCCGAGAACGAGCTGGGCGTGGTGGTGGCACGCAGTGAAGCAGGTAGGGATGGGACAGGCAGGGCCCCGGCTGGGACAGTTCTGCCTCATCCCTGCCCAAGGGGCATCTGCTGTGGCTGCTTCCCTCTCCATATGGAGGAAGGCAGTTTTGGGAAGGGGAAACCCAGACCACGTGCTGTTCCTAGGGGTGCAGATGGTGCCCATCAGCTGGTGTGAAATGCAGTGCCCGCGGACACACACCAAGGAGTTCCGTAAGGTGGCCCGGGTGCAGCCCCAGTTCCTGCAGACGTAGCACCACTGGGACTGTGGGGGCAGAGCACAGTCTCCCCAAGGCTCCCACCTCCTCTGCACGTCCAGCCAGGCCCTCACTGGCAGGATGGGTTTTCTACTTCTGGATAATAAATATTTTTTGAGAGCTCTGTGCTTTGCTCAGTACAGCCTGGGGGGTGGCTGGTGCTGCCTGCAGCATGCCGACACTGCTTTGGTTCCCACAGCAGAGCTGTTGAGGGAACAGGTTCCGCAGAACTGTAGCCAGGAGCAAGCATGTGTTCACTGCTGGGGAAGGGGAGCGACCCAGTGCCTTTGCTGCAGTGAGGCTAATGCACAGAGCCCATTTGTGGCTGGGCTGTGCGGGCTGCAGGCACTTGCCTTGCCAGTTGGTTTTCCCACATTGGACTAAAACCTGGAGCAGAGCCTGTCTTGGTGCACGATAACCCCACAGTGCACCATCTCCCCAGGGCACACGTGCCCTGCCCTGCTCTGGGGCAGAGGGTGTGCCACACCCAGAGCCTGAAAAACCACTGCAGGGAGGGCGTCACCCTCGGGAAGGGATTGCGGAGCTGTGCTTTGCTCCTTGAGCCCGGCACAGCTTCCGTAGCCCCATCTGCACCCAGCATCTGTGCCTCACACATGCACCAGGAACATGGAGCCTCACGTGGCCCAGGGATGCACAGACACCTCATTATTGCGCATTACTCCTTTATTGAACTGGAACAAGACAGCTGCTATGGTTGGACAGTAACACTGACCCCATGCAAGCCCAGGCTCACAGCGCTGGCAGAAGGGGAGGCCACAGTGACAGGCCACATACACATGTGTAGAATGGGACACAACGGCACCTGCTTCACCAGCAGGACTAGGATGGATATCAGCTGGGGGAAGAAAGTGGCAGACACAGACCTCCAGGCAACAGGCTCCCTCCCTCACCCTTGTCTGAAGGCAATAAGTTAAAGCAGGGGCTGGCAGAGCTGGGCCCAGAGTCGCGAGTACTGCCCTGGGGTGCTGTACTACAGGCACCGGAACACAACCCTTCCAGTGGCACCCTAGTCCCTGTGCCATGCACCCACAAGGGGACGAGGTATCCACCTTGGTCACTGCCTGCACTGCACTCGCCTCACTGCTCCCAGGAGGACTAAATCAAGTGACAAAACTACCGTAACTGGGTGACACGAGCTGCCAGGGAAGCAAAGCAAAGGAGGAGCCTGGCATGGCAAGGGATCACTCGGCCTGTCCCCCTGCAGACGGGGTCTGAAGGCTGGGACTTCAGCGTGGAGAGGTGCTGCCTGGAAAGCCAGGGCTCCCTTTAACACTAGACCTCTGCTCACACAGCCCTCAACCCTGGCCCCCAGGCTGTCTGCAGAAGGGAGCCGGGTCTGAGGGAATGGGCCTAATCCTCTGCAGCTCCGAGTTCCTACAACTGTGGGGGGTGTGAACAGAGGGGTTGGGGATGCCAGGGGGCTCTACTACGTGCTGGCATGCTGCCTGCCCTCACTTCTTAACCTTGCCCTGAGCAGCAACAGCCTCCATGGCCTTGCGCACAGTCTCCTCATCCCCCAGGAACTGCATGGGCTTGACAGGTTTCAGGTTCTTGTCCAGCTCGTAGACGATGGGGATGCCAGTGGGCAGGTTCAGCTCCATGATGGCCTCCTCCGACATGCCTGTGAATACAGCAGTGCCATTACTCCTGGCCCTGCCCGCAGTGCCAGCTGGGGAAGCAGGGGGATCCCCATGATGCCTCTGCAGGGCTGACCTACCTTCCAGGTGCTTGACAATTCCACGCAGGCTATTGCCATGGGCAGCAATAAGGACTCGCTTGCCCTCTTTGATCTGTGGGACAATTTCCTCATTCCAGAACGGCAGAGCCCGGGCAATGGTGTCCTTCAAGCTCTCGCACGTCGGCAGCTGGTCCTCCGTCAGGTCAGCGTAGCGACGGTCCTGGGAGAACAGCCACACTCACACTGCAGCCCAGTGCAGGAAGATGGTGGCAAGGCTTTTGTCCCTCCCCCAAATTCTCCACCTGAGGATCTGCTACATGTAAGTGAAGCCAGGCTTGGAAACAAGAAAACCTTTGATGTCTGGGGTTACAATGAACCACAGTCAGGGCCATGAACCCCTTCATGGGGAAAGTCACACCTTGCTTGCTCTGGATGAAGAGACCAGATCAAGCATCTGTGAATAGGTCATGGCACTAATGATTAACAGAGGTATTATCTTCTCTGCTTTGGATCTGTTCATGCAATGTCCAGGCGTTCAACTCCCCAAGGAGGGAGCAGGACAAACTCATCCCAAATCCAACCACCACCACACACAACAGCCCCACTACTGCAGCAGAAACAGAGGAGACCCTATAGAGGAAGCCAGGCCACCACAATGCAGGTGACTCTCAAGAACCTCCCTGAAAGGCACAAAGAGCAATGAATCTTACCTTTGCAATGGTGCTGTAGAAAGGGTGGTCAGACTGCATGGGAGGTGGAGGGATGTCGTAGGAGCGCCTCCAGATCTTCACCTGCGCCTCCCCATGCTTCGCCGCTGTCTCAGCCTTGTTCAAACCCGTGAGAGCCCCATAGTGCCTCTCGTTCAGGCGCCAGGTCCGGATAACGGGTAACCACATCTGATCAATGGCATCCAGGACGGTCCAGAGGGTACGGATGGCCCGTTTCTGCACCGAGGTGAAGCAGATATCGAACTCGTAGCCGGCATCTAGAAAAGACGGGGGATGGCAGTGGGGGGAAGACCGGGGAGGTGAGTGCCGGGCCTTATGCAACCGGTCAAAGGCCAAGGGCGGCGGCCTCGCCGCGCCGGTACCGGACGCGCCCTCGCCCTTACGGGAACCGGTGGCGGTCAGGACGCGACCAGCATCGGAGAACTAACACTTTGCGGTACCGGCGGCTCTCCCCGCGGTACCGAAACGCCGACCCCACACTGGAGGCCATTCCCGGGCATCAGAGAGCCTCAGACCCGCCCCATTAGGTTCGAGGCGGTCGCACCAGACCGCAACCCACCCTCCCCCCCTCACCTCCGCGACTCCCGCCTTGGCCGACTCCCCCTCCCTCCTTCCCCCCTTCCATTTACCGGTCACCGGTACCTCGGAGGGCTTCGCCACCGCGCCGCGCCTCTTGCTGCCCGGCGGGGCTGAGGTCGGCGTCGTACCAGCCGCTGAAGCGGTTCTCGAGGTTCCAGGCGCTCTCGCCGTGGCGGACGAGGACGAGCCGGTACGCGGCGGCCATGGCGGGCTGAGGGACCGGCGCACGTTGCTCCTCGCGCCGCTGCCACGCGCAAATAACGCCCCCGCGCTGCCCCGCCCCGCCCCGCGCGGTGCCGCGGGGGGGAGCGCATGCGCAGAGCCGGTGCCGGTCGGAGGCGCACGTAGCGCATGGCGCGGCCGCGAAGGGCGGCGCGACCTTCAGGGCGTGACGTCACCGTGACGTAATGCATGCTCGGTAATGCGTAACGCGTCGCGGCCGCTCGTCCGCGGCTACAGGCGCGCTCTGGACGGTTCCACAGGAGCGCGGCCCCGGCACGGGGGTGTCTGACAGGCTGCTGCCGGCGGCTGCCCCCGCGCCCGGCAGGTCTCCCATCCCAGCCCCGTCACCGCCCTCCGCCCGCCCCGCTGGGAGGTGGCTTGCCCTTAGGGCTGCCCTCACTCAAGATGGCGGCAGGCGCCGGAAGCGGAAGGGGCGGGAGGAGAGCGGGCGCACGTGGAACCGGGCCCAGCATGGCGCGGAGCGGGCGGCTCCGCTCGGGGGCCGCGGCCAAGCTTAAGCGGTGGCGGAAGGGCCACAGCAGCGACTGCAACCCCGAGACCCGCCAGCACCGCTTGGCCGCCCGGAGCCGCTTCTGCAGCCGGCCCGCAGGTGAGCACAGGGGCGGGCGGGGTGACTGGACCCCGGGGCGGGGAGCTCCCCACCTGTGCCCGGCTCTCCCCGGCGGCGTGCAGAGGCGCGGGGGGGCTGCGGGATGAGCATGGGGTCCTCCGAGAGCCGGGGCGGGGACCGAAGGGCCCAGAGGCGCTGACAGTCCTTGGGGAGGCGGAGGCAGCAAACCGGGGAGGAGGACACGAGTGTGTTCTCGTTACCGTCACTGTGGCGCCGGGCCTGAGGGGCGGAACGGGGCACCGCATGCTGCATCGCCTGTCACTCTCAGAGGCTCCCCAAAGCTCCTGGCCACACCTGTAAGTGTTGGTGTGGCGTCTAGTGCGGTGAGTGACGTGATTTCCGTTCATGATGGGGAAAGCAAACCAAAATCTGCCAGGCGCTGCGAGAGCCCTGGCTGCTACTGGCCAAGATCTTTCTCCTGCACATGAAGAAACAAGTCTTGCAGCACGTACTATCCTCTTGCAGCTGGCTGCAATCTGTTACTCAGAGGAACATGTAGTGTGTGTCCAGCTTGTCTGATTGCCATGGCTCCGTGTGGAAGATGTGTAGGGCAGAGTACAAGAAACACCTCAGCGTTAAAGCCTTGGCACATCAGGACATGTTTGTGTAGACATGATGCTCTCCTCCATCACAGGAGGCAGCTGGACTGTGCTCTGGTTTGTTTTCACAGGAATGAGGAGCTCTTTCTAGTTATTACTGTGCTTTCTCCCATTGGGGTGAAGGGGCACTGGTGTCTCATGCTGGAGATGAGCTCTAGCCAAGCCAGTCTGCCTGGGAGGAGAGAGGAGGGGAGCATGGGGGGTTTCAGGGTGGTGTGGAGCAACATGACTTTGCAGGTCTGACATGTCTCACCACCACAGAGAAAAGCAACTTGACGGTGGATGCGGTGAAGCTGCACAATGAGCTGCAGTCGGGGTCCCTGCGCCTGGGGCGGGCAAGCGACAGCGCTCAGCTCCACATGGAGGGGGATGACACTGTGGAGGTGGCCACGGAAAAGTCCTCTGGCACCTTCCTGAGTGGGCTGAGCGACTGTACCAACGTCACCTTCAGCAAGGTGCAGCGCTTCTGGGAGTCCAACTCCGCTGCTCACAAAGAGGTAGGGACAGGGCTGGGGAAGGGGGTGTCTGGTAAGGGTGGCCCCCCTGGGTGTGAGGCCAAAGAGCACTGACCTGCCGTGGTTGCTTCTCACAGATCTGCGCCGTGCTGGCGGCTGTGACGGAGGTGATCCGCTCCCGCGGGGGCAAGGAGAGCGAGACCGAGTACTTTGCTGCACTGGTGAGTGATGGCCATGGGGAGGAGGCATGGGGGGAGCTGCTGTTGGCAGCAAGGGTGGGCTCTCAGGAGGGTTGGTGGAGGAAGGTTCTGTGCTGGTAGCCAAGGCCCCAGGTGTCTTTCTTCAGCAGAGATGCTGTTCGGCTGCTCCTGGTTTCTCTGCCCCCTCCCCAAGAGTTGGCCTGATGTGAATCATCAATCCCCCTTGCTTACCCATCCTCTGTTCCCAGATGACCACACTGGAGGCAGTGGAGTCCCCTGAGTCACTGTCTGCTGTCGCCTACCTGCTTAACCTTGTCCTAAAGCGGTGAGTGGCTGACAGAGGAGCAGGGAGAGCTACAGACCCCATCTTGAAAGAGGGACTGGTGCTGTCCTCCCTCCCCAGGCTGGGGAAAGGACCCAACCAAGGCAAGCTGGTGATGCAGTTCTCTATGTAACTGCCACTAGCTGTCTGCTCCTCACCCCACCGACATGCTTCCTTCTCCTGGCAGGGTCCCAAGCCCTGTTCTTATTAAAAAGTTCTCAGACGCCTCAAAAGCCTTCATGAGTATCGTGTCCTCCCAGGCCTGCAGCAGTTCCACCTCTGCCCTACGTTGGGTGAGTAGCCAAGGGGCAGCCAGCTGTGTCAGCTCTGCCCAGAGTCTGCTGAGAGCTGGGGTCAAGGCTGCTGCTGTAGGGTGGTGCCAGATGCTCGGCCTGAGGCCCTTGCAGTGAGCAGGGGTTTCTCTGTGGAGCGATGCTAACACCCCTGCTGCTGTCTTGTCATAGGTTCTCTCTTGCCTGGCCACGCTGCTGCGGAAGCAGGACCTGGCAGCCTGGAGCTACCCTGTCACCCTCCAGGTCTATCATGGCTTGCTGAGTTTCTGTGTCCATACTAAGCCTAAGGTGAGAGCCCAGTGCCCCTGGCAGAAGATGACACTGCTTTTGGATCATGTTTCTGGGGCTGGCTCTGCCTCCCAGGTCTATAGCCTGTAGTCACCTGGGTTCTTCTTCCCCCAGGTGCGGAAAGCAGCACAGTACGGCGTGTGCTCTGTCCTGAGGGGCAGTGAGTTCATGTTTGGCGATGCAGCCCCTGAGAGTCACCCCGCGGCACCCTCCACTGCCAAGTTCTGTGTGCAGGAGATTGAAAAAGCTGGAGGTGTGGGGCACTGGAGCTTGGGGTTTGCAGCTGAGTTTGGGGGACTCTGCCACTGTGGTAGAATAAGGACTTGAAGGGAAGAGGGGAAGGTGCAGCATCCTGGATTGCTGGGGAGTGTCTGAGACACCTCTGGGGCACCTGAAGTGTTTTCAAGGGTCCTCAGCTATTCAGTTGTCAGCTCTGCTCCTCTCAGGAGTCAGGGGAGTGTTCACCCTGGCTCTGTGGGTCAGCCCCAGCGTTGTCACAGGGGCTTTGCCATGGGGTGCCACAGGCTCAGAGGTTGCTCTGCTCCTGCAGGTGCCAAGGAGGCCACCACTACCCTGCATGTCCTTGCCCTGTTGCGGGACGTACTGCCCTGCTTCCCTGCGGCCATGGTGAAGACCTGCTGCGAGACCTTGCTCCGTGTCATGACCCTCAGCCACGTGGTGAGTATTGCTGCTCCAGGGATAGCAAGGGCAGACCGTTTCCTCATTGGCTGCACTCTGGAAGGGATCAAACTCCCTTGGCTGCCCACTGGGAGTGTGGAAATGCTGGATGCAAACACGGAGGAGCCCAGGGCAGCTGGTCTTTGCTGGCCTGACTGCTGTGGAAGAGAGAGGCTGTGTACATGGGTCATAGTTGCAGCAGTGCTGGGTTTCCCAGGGCAGAGCCTGCTTTGGAGTGGGGGGACAGTGGGTGCAAAGCAGAGGCCCTCTCCTGACATCGTGTCCTTTGCAGCTGGTGACAGCGTGTGCCATGCAAGCCTTCCACAGCCTGTTCAGCGCCCAGGCCAGCGTGGCCTGCCTGCCGGCCGAGCTCAACGCCCAGATCATCACTGTGAGTGTGGAGTGCCAGTGAGAGGGGGTACAGAACTGGCAGTGCCATGCCACCCACCTATCTTCTGCTTCCCCAGGCCCTCTATGACTACGTGCCCAGCACGAGTGACCTGCAGCCGCTGCTGACCTGGCTGTCCACCATGGAGCGGGCACACATCAACCTGGGCAGGTGCGGGCAGGGGCCATGGCTGGGCAGGGGGAGAGGCAGCTGCTTGGTCTCTCACCTGCCCTGTTTCCTCTCCAGGCTGCAGAAGGACTTGTGCTGGGCTCACCTGCCCCGGCTCTTCTCTGCTGCCATGAACTGCTTCCTCTCCTCACACTCCCAGGTGGTGTCGGCAGCGGCGCAGACCCTGGAGGTACCATATGCAGGCACCTCTGCTCATTTGGCTGCCCTGTATCTTGTGGGGGGCTCTGCTGAGGGGTTTGGGAGTGGTGTGCCCCTCTGTGTCTGCTGGGCTGAGGGCTCCATGGTCCACGGCTGTCCCATTCTCCCTGTTTGCCCTTGCAGACCCTCCTGAGTGAGTGCATTGCTCCCCACATGGAGGACCTGGGCACTGTCTCTGCATCTGCCCCAGCCCCTGCTGCCTACTTGTGCAAGATGTTCAAGTGAGGAGCGGTGGTGTGGGAGGGGCTGTCCCCATGAGATTGGCTGAGCTCTGACCAGTATCTGCCTGGTCCCCAATGGGGTCTGGCAGGCCTGGTGGGCACCCTGATCACTACCAGCATGACCGTCTGCTCTCTTCTCCCCAGATCAGTGGAGGAAGGGCTGACATACCGTTTCCATGCTGCGTGGGATGAGGTGCTACGGGTGCTGGAGGTCTTCTTCGAGACATGTGGGAAGCAGTGCCATCCCATCATGAGAAAGGTGAGCCAGTCTGGGAGAGCACAGGCTCATTCACAGAGGCAGGGTGGGGTGGCTGCGCTGCTGTCCAGGCTGTGTTGCCCCCTCCAGCTGTGGAGCAGGGCCGTGCTAGTGCCCGCTGTCCTGCCCATATGTGGGCAGAGCATACACAGCTCTGGGACTCAGCACAGGGACGTGCAGGGCAGTTGGCATCCCTGGGAAGACATAGTGAGTGACATGTGCCAGACCTGCCCCCATGGCTCCTCTGAGACTGTCCCGCCCTGTCCCGGCAGTGTCTCCGGTCGCTGTGTGACCTGCGTCTCTCCCCACACTTTCCCTACACCGCTGAAGTGGACCAGGCAGTGGGGGCTGCGGTGAGCACCATGGGCCCCGAGGTGCTGCTGGAAGTTGTGCCCCTGGAGATTGACGGCAAGGAGTGAGTATAGTCACAGGGTAGCAATTTTGCAGCTGTTCATTACACTCCTGTTCAGTCCTCATGCAGTGCTGGAGGTGTTTGGCTGCCGAGCCTACCTGTGCCCAGCTTTGGGACTGGGTGGAAGTGCCCAGTGTCCAGGGGCTGATGCCAGCAGTGCCCTGTGCTCTCCTGACCCATGCCTTCCCTCCCCCAGGGAGACACTGGATTTCCCCCGCAGCTGGCTCCTGCCGGTGCTGCGGGACTATGTGCAGGGAACGCGGCTCGGCTTCTTCACCAGCTACTTCTTGCCCTTGGCAGCCGCCCTGAAAAACAGAGGTGAGCAGAGTGGCACACCCAGCAGGCCAGGGTGTTCTGTGGGACCTCCCTTCCCTTCCCTGGAGTGTAGTAGGGCTTTGCAACATCTGCTGTTCCGCTCATCTCTCTTTCTCTTCTGTAGCCCAGGAGTTTACACAGGCTGGGAAGAGTGTGGAGGCCAAGCTCTACGACACGCTGCAGTGGCAGGTAACAAGGAATGCCCAGGAGGACTGCTATGATCAACCCATGCCAGGCTGGGTAGCTGTGACTTGGTGAAGACTGCTGGTCTCCCGCCTTTGCCTTCCAGGTCTGGACTCTGCTGCCTGGCTTCTGCACCCACCCCACAGATGTGCTGGGGGCCTTCAAGGGGCTGGCCCGCACCCTGGGCATGGCCATCAGTGAGCGCCCAGACCTCCGCCCCACCGTGTGCCAGGCCTTGCGCACCCTCATCCACAAAGGCTGCGAGACAGGTCGGGGGGACATGAACCCTCCTGGTGGGTCCCTGTGCCCTGCAGTGACGCAGAGAAGGGACATGCTGATCTATACCTCTCTGTCATCCTCTCCCTAGATGCGGAGCAGGCAGAAGTGGGTCGCTTTGCCAAAAATTTCCTGCCCATCCTGTTCAACGTGTACAGCCAGCCTGAGGAGGATGGGGGCAGCAGTGCTCAGCGCCGCTCCGTGCTGGACACTGTCCGTGCTTACCTGACCATCACCGACCCCCAGGTGAGGGGGCCCTCGGGCAGTGGGACAAGCTGTGCTGGCTTGAGCCAGCATCTCCCAGCCAGATCCAGTCTGGTAGGGCTTATTGGAGAGGACAGAAAAAAAAACACTCAGCAGAGAGCAGTCCTTCCTGCCATTGTGGGAAGGGAGCCCTTTCCAGCCAAAGGTCTGGGTTTTCCCAATTTTGCAGTCACATCTGGTGCATCATGCACAAACTCTTTTGCAATTTATCCATCTCTTTTTGGACCTGCTGGTGCTTCTTGTCTCCACAAAATCCTGTGGCAAAGTGTTTGTCCGGTATGTTGCAAACTCTTGTAAAAGCATTCTTTGGTCAGTTCTGATCCTGCTCTGTGTGCCTGCCCTGCAGTTGGTGTGTGGGTTCCTGGAGAAAGCCAGTGCGAAGCTGACCAGTCCTGAGAGCTCCGAGTTTGCCAGGTAATGCCCGGGGGCTGATGCTAAAGGGTAAAACTCCTGGCATGCTCCTGGTGAGCAGAGCTAGGGCACTGTCCTGTGTGGGCTTTGCCACTCTTGTACATTTGATGAGACTCAGAGCCAGAGTGCCAGATTGGTCGGGCACTGTTAGCGATGCTGGAGTTAATCACCTGCGTGTCCTCGTCTGCTGCAGACTCTCCATCCTGGATCTGGTAGTGGCAATGGCACCCTACGCTGATGAGCAGTCCCTGGACAACCTGTACCGCACCATCCAGCCTTCCCTCCAGGTCAGTTGGTCCCCAGCCCTGACAGGTGCAGGGGGTGTGGTGGGGAACCTTGTGTTTGCTGCCAGCTTGGACTCACTTTTTGTGGGGCTGAACAGCTGCCGTAGTCTCTGCTGGGTGGCGTGCGGTACTGCAGGGGTCCCTTCAGACACTGTGGTGAGGGGCTGCCTTTACAGTGGGAGCGTGTTGGCTGTCCTTGCAGAGCAAAGAGCGCAGCGTGCAGAAGAAGGCATACCGTGTGCTGGAGGAGGTGTGCGCCGCTCCCCACGCTCCCTGCCAGGCCTTTGTCCGCTCCCATCTGCAGGACCTGCAGACAGCGCTGCTGGACTCGCTCAAGAGCGCAGCATCCCCAGCCAAGAGGGTGAGAGCAAGGGCTGCAGTGGTGGAGATCAGCCTCTGCTGGGAGGGAGGGGATGGAGTGGATGGTAGGGGTAGCCATCTGTGTATCCCTGGGTGTAATGGTGCTGGGCTGTTTCTTTCCCCAGCCTCGGCTGAAATGCCTGTTACACATCGTGAAGCAGCTTTCTGCAGAGCACGAGCCTTTCGTCACTGCCCTGGTCCCAGAGGTGAGCACGGTCCTTGGAAGCGCCCAACTGTTTCTGGCTGTGGTGGTGGCTTTAGTGGTGTGACATGCCTGTGTGCCTGCAGGTCATCCTGTGCACCAAGGAGGTCTCAGTGGGGGCCCGCAAGAATGCCTTCATGCTGCTTGTGGAGATGGGGCATGCCTTCATCCGCTTTGGGCCCAACCCTGAAGGTGAGCTCCTGTTCCATTTGCTCAGCCCCACGGCTGCTCTGGCCCCAGGGGTATCAGACCCATGCCCAGCATCCCACTGAAATGGTCCAGGGATGCTGCTGGTCACAGAGTGAATTGGAGCTTGAGTCATCCCCCTCTTGCAGAGGCCATGCAGCGGTTCCTGCTCCTGATCTATGTGGGGCTCACTGGCTCAGTCACCATGATCAGCTGCACCGTGCTGGCATTGACCCGCCTGTTCTTTGAGTTCAAAGGTAAGCAGGGGGCTGGGGGGAAGAGGCAGAGCACTCTAGCAGAGGCAGGTGCTGGAAGCAGGCCAGCTATGGCTGAGTCCCACCATGGTTGCAGATCACCTGGAATTCAGTGTGGTGGAGCAGCTCCTGCAGAACATCTGCTTGCTGTTGGCCTCCCGCACACGGGATGTGGTGAAGGCGGCCCTGGGCTTCCTCAAGGTCACACTACTGCTGGTGGACACCAAGCTGCTGGCCAAGCATGTGCAGGCAATGGTGAGATCCCACACGGGGTGCCTTGAGGAGGGTGGCAGGGCAGAGCTGGGGCTGCCCTGGGCAGCTGGGGGCATCTCCAGCTGCACCCTGCTTCTGCTCGGGAGCCAAGGGAACAACCTTGATCTCAGTGGCTGAGATGGCAGTGGGGAGGTCTCTCTCCTGAATGCTGGCATGGACATGTCAGAGAACTTCCGTGAACCAGCCCTGCCAAGCAGGGAGACCTCCCCATGACCCTGCCTGGAGTGGGCATGGGGCAATGGCAGCAGGGTGAGCAAGGGGGCCATGCAGGTGAAGGGTGGGAGGCTGGATGCCCAAGGCAAGGGTGCTTGGGTCTTGAGGGTCTCTGTCCTGGCAGCTGGAGGCCGTGGGGAACCTTTCAGATGACATGAGACGCCACTTTCGTATGAAGCTGCGAAACCTCTTCATCAAGTTCATCCGCAAGTTCGGGTAAGCCAGGGTCTCCTGGGGTGGTGAGGAAGCTCTCTGGGAAGCGGTGCAGGAGAAGGTGGGTGCTCACTGCTCTTTGTGTGCCCCTCAGCTTCGAGCTGGTGAAGGGGCTGCTGCCACCTGAGTACCATAAGGTGCTGGTGAACATCCGCAAGGCAGAAGCCCGGAACCGCAAGCAGCGCACCCTGAAGCGGGCGGCTGCAGAGACGGATGAGGAGGAGGCACCACCAGCACAGCCCAGAGGAGACAGGTGAAGATAGGCCGGGGTGAAGAGGAGCAGCCCTCATGGAGAGCTTGGTGCTGGATCTGCTCAGCTGGTGCCTCTAGAGATGCTGGAGACATCTCTGAGGCCGCTGTGTGTTGCAGGGCAGGGTGCACCCCTGGGCTCGTTCCGTTTCCATCATCCTCTCTGTGTTTTGACAGCATGGAGGAGATCCTGGCTGACTCGGAGGATGAGGAGGAGGAAGAGGAGGAACGGCATCGGAGTAAGGAGTGGAGAAAGCAAGCACGGCAAAAGGGCCAGGCCTGGCTGAAGGAAGGGGAAGAGGATGAGCCCCTCAACTTCCTGGACCCCAATGTGTCCCAGCGAGTGCTGGGTAAGGAGTGAAGCTTCTAACAGGGCTGAGGTGGGATAGATGGGGCAGGGGCTGACATGATGCACAGGGGTCCTGGGGGCACAGCTGCCCCCAGGAGTGGGTCCTTCCCCAGGCCCTGACCCCTCCCTCTATGAGCAGCCACCAAGCCAGGCCCCAAGCGGTCCAGAGGAGTGAGCCACGACTTCCAGATGTCTGAGGACGGACGCCTGATCATCCATGAAGAGGAGGAGGAGATGGATGATGATGAAGCCAAAGGTACTGCCTGGGCTGTCAGGGGCCACACTAGACTTGTTCTGGACTTCTGAATGGTTTTCTTCCTGCCATCTGCATGTGGGATTTTGGGGGCATATGGGTGAAGGTGGCAGGAGTGTGTACAGTCTTGTGTCACACCCAGTGGGTCTCCTCTGGGCCACTACCCAGGAGAGACAGCCCCCTCCATCATCAGGAGGGAGTTGGAGGGGTCACAGCCACCAGTACTGATTTAGTAGGGGACCCTGCTACTGCAACCCCCTCCAGGGGCTGGCATGGTACTGGGGCTCTTCCGGATACCAGGTCAGTGCCTGTATCCTGCACTGACCCTCTTGTCCTGTACTATAGGAGCAGACGAGGAGATGGCAGATGTGCTGCAAGATGTGGGTCTCCGCAGTGTGAGTACAGGGCTTGTGGTCCTGAGGAGATGCTGGGGAACTCGGCTGTGCCAAACCACTGCCTGTGCCATGGCAGCTGCAGCTGTGCCCGAGAGGCTAGTGGTGACACCAGGCAAGCATCAGCTGCTTGGAGGGGTGCAGGAGGTTGTCTGGGGTAGGGATGTGCTGTCTGGAAGGTCGCTGGGTGCCCATGGGAGGAAGCAGGAGGTTGGGGGTATGTGGGAAGGCAGAACTGTAAGGACAAGCCAGCTGCAGGGTCCCTGCTGCTTGCTTCTGCAGAAGAAAAACCAGAAGCGTCGGTTCAGAGAGGAGCCAGATGATGAGGAAGCCGAGGCTGGAACCTACTCTCAGTACAGAGGTAAGTTCTCTGCCTGTGCCCAGTCTGGCCCAGAGGGCCAGAATTACATACCCATTTTGCTGTGTTGCTGCAGGACAATTAGAGCAGAGATCACAGAATGGGTTGGGTTGGAAGGGACCACTGTGTCATCCAGTCCAACCTCCCTGCTCAAACAGGGTCGTCCTCGAGCACATTGCACAGCATTGCATCCACACGGTTCTGGAATATCTCCAGTGAGGGAGACTCCACAACCTCTCTGGGCAATCTGTTCCAGTGCTCAGTCACTCACACAGTGAAGAAGTTCTTCCTCATATTCAGGTGGAACTTCTGTGCATCAGTTTCTGCCTATTGTCTCTTGTCCTATTGCTTGGCACCACTGAGAAAAGTCTGGCACCATCCTCTTGACACCCACCATTCAGATACTTAGAGACAATGATGAGGTCCCCTCTCAGACATTTCTTCTCCGGGCTGAACAGGCCCAGCTCTCTCAGCCTTTCCTCACAAGAGAGATGCTCCAGTCCCTTAACCATCCGCTGGACCCTCTCCATGAGCTCCATGTCTCTCGTACTGAAGAGCCCAGAACTCAACACAGCACTCCAGATGAGGCCTCACTAGGGCAGAGTAGAGGGGCAGGATCACCTCCCTCGACCTTATGTACCCCAGGATACCACTGGTCTTCTTGGCCACAAGGACATGCTGCCGGCTCATGGACAGCTTGTTTTCCACCAAGACCCCCGGGTCCTTCTCTACAGAGCCTGAACTGGTGCCTGGGGTTACTCCTCCCCAAGTGCAGGACCTTGCATTTGCCTTTGTTAATCTCAGACAGTTCTCTGCCCATCTCTCCAGAGATCTTTGCTTGTGGGAAATGGCCACTCCTCTCTGGTGACCTCACACCCAAGAGCTGGAGGCAAAAACAGGAACACCTTCTGCAGCCTGGAGCTGAGCAGGGGGAGCCCTGAGACCCCCTTCCAACACATTCTCTGTTTTCTAGCTGGAGGCTCTGGGATCCACCGTCCACTGAAAAAGGAGCCAGCCTTCGGTGCAGAGTACAGATCCAAGGTGAGGGACCCAGGGGGTTGCAGGGTTTGGGTGGGGGGATACCTGGGGCTTTGCTGTGGCAGGAAGCACCATTTGTTTGTTGGGAGTCTGGTTCTGTAGCACCAAGGCTGGAAGGGGATCTCTACTGCAAGAGGAGTTGCCAGACACTCAGTATCTCCGAACATTGCCAACCCATCTTGGAGTTCCTCTACTGCCCTTGCTGTGGACAGTTCCTGCTCAATGCTCAAAGCAGGTGTCTGTAGCATCATATGAGTGATGATAGCTCAGCTGGCACCCCACTGCAAGTCTTTGGGATGGCCAGGTGGCAGGGTTGCACCAGAACAGGGTGTTTGCATCTCCCTTGGTGCTGCATCTTCTCACGTCACTGTCTCCCACAGAAAGGTAAAGGCGACGTGAAGAAGAAGGGCCAGCTCGACCCCTATGCCTACATCCCCCTGAACAGAGCTAAACTCAACAGAAGGTGAGGCTAATCAGGAAGGGCACAGGGGTGGAAATGGGTTTGCTTTTTGTTGCTATGGTTTTTTGGTGGGTTTGGGAGCTCCCTGTGCCACTCCTTGCAGAGCCTGGAGCATGCCTGTGCATTAGGTGTGCCCAGTGCCTGCATCAACCCAGTCTCCTGCTCCTTGCTCCCTCTAGGAAGCGGGCAAAAATGCAGGGCCAGTTCAAGGGCCTTATGAAGGGAGCTCAGCGTGGGGCCAAAGCCGGCCGCAGGAACCGTGTGAAGTCCCAGCGCTCCTGAAGAGCCTCAGTTGCCTGACCTGCCCCTACCCAAGGACAGACAACACTCTGTGGCCTCTGGAGGATGGGGGATTCATGCGTGGAGCAGCCAGGACTCCTCTGCAGAAGGTGACCTGCGTTTGTTTAAGACTCCCTGGGAGGCCACTCCAGCATATTATGGACTGATGACCCAAGCCATGCTTTCCTGTGCCTGGAGGAAGTGCTGGTTTGCCTGGTGCAGATATAGGGGGGTGTGTGAGAGCAAGTAATGTGTAAAGAATTATCTATATTGATAAATACCCACTGTTCCTACCCAGCCCAGATTCCTCCTGTCCTTCTCTTCAGAGCTGTGCACACCCATGCTCTGCCTGCTGTCTTGGTGCAGTGGGTCCTGCTGCTGCTGCAGCACTGAATCCCACGGGGCTCACACCAGCATCAGCCTGGGACCTGGAGCCAGGGCCCTCTCTCCCACACTGGGCTTGCCTGGGAGCTGCCAGAAGCAGTCCTGTGGCACAGAGCAGCGAGGCAGTGCCTGTGCCCTTCTGGCACACATGCCCGCTGTGGCTGGGGCATGGAGTTGGCCAAAGAATGAAACCAGAGAGGGTGAAGTCCTATGCTTACATCCAGCTTTCTTTTACAAACTCCGTCTTGGCAGGATCTTCTGCCTAAAACCGTGGCCAGGGAATCTGTGCCATGGGGAAAGTGTCTGCCATTTGGCTGCCAGTGTTTTCTCTCCTGCCTCAGCTTTTCCCATATCAGCCGTGCCTGATAGTGGGGCAGAAACAGTTCACTGCAAATTTCATCAAACTGGATGGAAAACTGCTACAGCAAACCTCTGTGTCTTGCCATTTCTCTTACCTGTAAGAGATGAGAAGCCCTTTCCTCTGCTCTGACCACCTTCTGCCAGCTAGATCTGAGCAGCACAAATAATCATGGACCTTTTTAGCTGCCCAGCCCTCTCACATTGGACTGAGCATCTTGTTTGGCCCGGCTACATCTGCACTGAGCCCAAAAGATGCTGTTTGGCCAAAGTGTGCTGAAGAGAATGAGCTGAGGGTAGTGGGTACGGGTCCCATTGCTTGCACTACAAGGAACTCCTTTCCTCTTCCATATTAAAAAGCCTTCAACTCTTTGTAATTTCCTCTTGTGGCAGCTTACATGCTGGAATTGCAACGCTTCTCAGTTCTCTAATAAGCTAAAGGGATTGTGCTTGTTCAGCTTCTTACTGCAGGCTTCTTCCTGGAGGCTGCAAATCCAGTTTTGTGGCTTTCTTATGTGCTGTCTTTCTGTTTTTTTTCAAGATCCTTTTAAAAGCCTGGAGATGGAGGAGGTGCTCTTGTACTGATATTAGTCCTGCCTTGTCAGGAGTATTGTCCCCTTCATGCTTTCCCACCCAGGGCTCTCACTTGGACCCTTGAGCCCCAGGACCATGTTCAGGTGCTGCTGCTCTAATCCTGCCACAGGGGAGCTCACAGCCTGGCCTATGAGACAGGTGTCTCCAGCAGCACCTCCTGACCATGTTCAGTCAGCTGGAGCTACATCCATCTTCCTCTGGTGCCTGTAGCCTAGGCTTGATGCCCTCCCTCCTTCTGCAGGACAGGAGCAGACAGGGCAGCAGTCACCTTCTGAGCCCCCCACACCTGTGACCTGTGGCTCCAGGCCCACCAGAGCTATCTGTCTTCCTGCTTTCTTTTCTCTCCTTGGAGACTGCCTGGGCAAGACTGTAGCTAATTCATTTAAGAGCTCCAGATTACTCACTGTATTGTTCTTCATTTGCATGTTGTTGTTTAAATTAGTGCATGCCTGCATGGAACAGAAGAGTTTCATTAGCACAGAGGATGGTGTTTGCCTGAGCTGGTGTCCAGAGAACAGATTCTTCTGCAACAACATCTTGTTAATCAGCTAATTAATCATGTAATGCAATGGAAACCCTCGGAGAGGAGATGTCATCGTGCCTGGGAAGGCTGGCTGCGAGTCAAGCCTGCTCCCCACTAGCAGCTATCCCTGGCAGGGAGCAGAGCTGTGCCTTGGGGGCCCTCAGGAGCCTGAGCACAGCTCTCTGTTATGGGGCAGGGTGAGGGGGGATGTGGGTCCTGCCTCCAGCAAGTACGTGCCACAAATATTTCACAGTTACACACAGAGAAGCACAAGAGGGGGACCTAGAGTGGTGCTTGGCTTTTGCTGCTCAAGCTGGGAGGTGGCTGGAAGCTATTTCTTCACCCAGCTTGCCATTTAATCATGCAACTCCTTCCCACAGGCTGCAGTGGGCACCAACAGTGTACCAGTGTTGAGCTACACTTGTGCAAGACATTGTTACAAAGGGCTCTTACCTTGCAGGTACCAGCTGCAAATCGGGAGTTCTCCACGCTGTGGGCTGCAGGTGTGCTGAGCACCCTTGAGAAGAGGCTGGCAGGACTAACGGGCTTCCCCTAGTGCTGGCTGGGTGGCCCTTGGACTGGCTGAGGTAGTTACTGATACCCACCCTGAGTCTTAAGGCTCAAAATGAGGAAGATAAAAACATCACTGTGTCCTTAGCCTAGAAACTGTCTCCTTGGATTCTGTCCACAGTGGTATGCCCCTCAGAGGGACAGATGTGCCCCAGGGGGCTGTGCCCATGCAACATCCAGATGTACCACCACCTCCTCCAAGCACACTGCAGCACCTTTTTGGGGTTCCCCAGTTCAAAGTTGGGATCTGTCACACACCAAGGTGCAGGGATGGGAAAACCCTTCTGGGAACAGCAGTATAAGAGGAACTTTGGTGTTTAAGCTGAAATGATTGGCAGCAAGATAATTAAGTGTGGAGGTTTAAAATGCCAAGGGACCACTCCAGCTGAAATCTAATCAATTAAAAAAATACCAGATTAGTTCCTAGTCCCCTTAGCACTCTGATCTACGGTTTCACTTGCTTATAAGTTGTTCTGTCTTCCCATGGTTACTACTTGAACGCTGTGGGTGCACCAAGTGTGCAGGGACACAGGGACCCTGGCTGAGGGCAAGGCAGGTGCTTCTACCCACCAAGGGAAAAAAAAGAGGGAATAAAACTGCTCTTCTAGCACCTGTGTTCTCTGATTTCTCCTCAATGAAGAGCAAGTTGCGAGTTGGGGGTTATGGTGTAACTCATGCTATTTGGAGCACTTGGCGTGGGCTCTGCAGGTTCGGGGTACGTCAGCAGCATTGTAAGTTTCCTTCCAATGAAAGGAATGTTGTTTCTGCTTTAGTGCTCAGTGAGAGGCTGGGGGTGCCGGGGCGCTCGCGGCCTTACACCGCCGGCCTACAACTCCCAGCACGCCGCGCGCGGCACAGGCGGCCGTTTTCCCCGCCGTGCGCGCGGATCGGCAGTTGCCCGTTCGAACCGGCCAATCGCGGCGGGGCGTGGCGGGCCGCAGCCAATGGCTCCGCGCGCCGCAGGAGGGGCGGGGCCGAGGGGGAGGCGCGGCGGGCCAATGGGCAGGCGGAGCGGCAGGTATGAGATGGCGGCGGGAGCACCGGCGCCTGGTGGCGGCGGCGGCAGGTAGGAGCGGGACTGGGACCGGGGGCACCGGCACCTCCTCGCACTCTCCCGGGGCGGCAGCGGGCCCTCCTCGGCTCCTCGCTGCCGCGTTACGGGTCGGGCGCCCCGCAGCAGCCGCTGGGCAGGCCCCGGCCGGTGCGCCTCGGCCCGCCCATTGCGGCGCTGTCCGTGCGAGCCGCGCTGTCGCCGTCCCCGCTGCTGCGCCGCCCGCGGGGCCCCGGCGCCCTAACGGAGCTGTCGCTGTCCGGCGCCCCGGCGGCTCCGGAGCTCGGCCGACCCGCCGGGCAGCCCCGCGAGGGTCGCGGTAGGACCGTGTGTCCCCGCGGTGCCCGTGTCCCCGCGGGCCGGGCGGAGCAGGAGCGCTCCCCGCAGCATCCCGGTGCTGCATTGCGGGGAAGCGCTTCTCGCTCCGCTGCAAGGGCAGAGATCCCTCTCCAGCCGCCCGCCGCGGGCAGGGGCTGTTCCCTCGGGAGGGCGGCCGGGCGCCGTGCCCGCCGTGCAGCTCTGCCCTGCCGCGGGGCACTGCCGTGCTGCGGCCGGGCCGGCTCGTCCCTCCTGCAGCCGCAGAGCCGGCGCCGAGCTCTCGGCAGTTGCAGGGTTTGGTAGGGTGATGGCACTGTATAGACTCGCTTCGCATCCGGCCCCCCTTCTCCTTTGCTTTGTGCACTCTGCGTGCGTTATTCTCCCTTTCCAAATACACAAACTATGTCAGCTTCACGTAATTCATCTTTAGCGAGTACTTTTGGATGCATAACCATTCTGTGACTGCTGCCGATAAAATAGTAGGGACTGCGTGAGCATCTCGCTGGAACAGTGTTGTCGGGTGACTGATAAAAGGCTGCATCATCTCTTCCTTTTTTTCTTTTATTTTTTCCCTGCATATGTGGTGTGGAGCTGCAAACTGCGTATCACTTGAATGGCAATTCTTGTGGATAAATAAATGCAGTTGAGGGTTGATGCCTCATACCCACCTTGATTCATGGTGGTGCTCTCCTGTTCTCTGCGGAGTGGGACCCATCCTGACGGCACTGCTGTGGTGCCTGAGTTGCCCTAGAAGGAGGGATGAAGAGATGGTGCTCATTGCAGCATGTTTGAGCAGGGAGTGCCTGAAATGCTGGACCTGGTATGCTCTATGCAGCTAATACTTAAGATGCCCTTTTGGATAAGGCATCTTAAACGTGGCCTGGATCAGCCCAAATGATTGAATTTATTTTTTCTATGCTGCCAGTTGTCCTTACGATGTACTCCCTCCACGCTCTACCCCCCCCACCAAGTGAGTGATTGTGTTAAAGCCAAGCCTTTGTACAAGTTTTTTCCCAGCACTGCGTGTCACCCACAGGTAGCGCTAGCAAATCGATCTCTTGCTTTGTTGGTCTATCACCACACAGACCACAAAGCTTGCTTTTATTGTGCTTTTGCCCCCGTTTACTCTCATCTGGAGAGAAGTGCAGGTTAGCTAGTAAAGCTCGCATGCTGTGTGTGTGGTCTTTAGCATGCTGACTTCAAGACTGGAAATAAAAGCTGGTTGTCTTAAACTCTTTACCAAATGTCTCTGAACATGACAAAAGGTGATTTGTGTGGGCCTCTCTTCTGTTTGTGGTCTTTCTAACCTCTGCCTGGCTTGTCATAACTGAGAATGATGATTGCATTGTGCCACAGTGCTCAATTTCAAAAGAGAAACATCTGTCTGTTTAATGAATGCTTTTAACAAGGTCTGATTCAAGCAGAGCCTAAATGCTTTGCCAGGCACTTGTGTCCGCCATTTGATATGGCAGGGGTGGGATGAGTGGAAGGGAAAAAGCCATGAGGCATCTTCCTGAAATGGCCTGATAGAGTGTCACTGCACAACTGGACATCGAGAGCTCATACCATAAACAGGTTATGAAAGGAGACACAATTGCCATCTGTGTTTTACTGTAAATAGGAAAATGTTCACTGTAAACATGACTTAATGGCAAAAAGTCAAAGTGACTTGCTGAGAGTCATGCAGAAAAAATGGTTGATTTCAGAGTTAAGGCCAAGTCTGAACACATGGCTGCTTTTCTCTGAAGATACCCTGGGAGCAGGGGGGCAGTCTTATTCAAACATTCCCTTTTCCACAGCCCTCATAAGAATTTTTGAGACCTAAACTTGTGTTTGACCCTGTACTCGGTCCAAGTCCTGCCAGGTGCACGTCTGATCCAAAACCAAGGCTGTATTGCATTTGCAGTATTTTTGTATGTTTGCGTGTAACACCCTGTCCTGTTCTCATCCAGGGCCTGGGGTGGGCTTGGACAACAGGATCCTTGTTCTGCTACACTTCAGTTTATTGTCTGTTTGTATGAAGGGGGAGCGTTGCTTCCCACGTAGCCCAAAGCAGCTCTGTGTCTCCTTGCCAGTCTGGCCATTGCCTTGTTGCTGTGTGCACATTTACATGCCTGTGAAAATGTCACTCCTTTAAAGGTGCCTGGGCACTCAGTTCACTCTGAAACTGAAGCACTGAGTGCCGGACACTGCTGAGAAATCAAACTCCTTGTCCTAAAGGTCAACAGTCCTCACTGTGTGTTGGTTTAATAAGTGGCATGAACAGATGGGAAGGAGACGGGGCAGTGTGGAAATGTTGGCTAATATTAAATGGTTGCACTGAAGTCAAGTTCCTCTTGGAAATACTGTCCCTCTGTACACTGTGTTGGGCTCCTGGTCACAACTGAGGCCTTGTATTTTCCACTTGTTTTGGGCTTAGCTCTTTCTGTTAGGATCTCTTTTTTTACTTGTTCTTTAGCTGGAGGCAAGAACAGGGAACTGAAGCCCTTTCCTTGCCCTATGGTCTGCTGGGTGCAGTCACAGACCTGCTGTGCTGATGTTGTGGAGGCTGTCACTAAACCTGCACTGTGATCCTTGGGACTGACACCATGTATTCCCATGTTCCCAAGTCACAGGGGTCTAGGAGCTAGCATGGGCAGAGAAATGGGAGGAACCGTGGCTGCGGCTGACACTGCGTTTCAGAGCTTCACATGTCTGGTGTGTTCCTGGCCTCTTGTCCAGGTAATGCACTACACTTACCACAGTACCTGAGAAGAGCGTTGGGCTCTTTTCTCCAAGGTGCAAACCCCTCATTCCCCGGCTCTTGGCCCCTTTCTCCCTTCTACGCTAGGTAATTGCAATTAGGCTATCTGGACTTTCCTCATAAATTTTATTTTCAGAAACTGTAGATAGTAGGGAATGTGATAAGCTGCTTAAATAATTGCCTGCCAGCTGGCTTACAAGAACTTTTAATGTGTTTGCTTTTGGCCTATAAAGCTCAATGGTTTGGAGTCCTGCCAAAACATCCTTTCTTCTCGAGTGGTAATGTGGCAGCTCTGATTTTCAGAGGCAGGAATTTCTCAGGGGAGATGGTATTAGTTTTCTTTTTTGTTTTTCTGAAGCTTATACTCAAGGTTGAAACATAGCTTTATGGTTTGGGACTTCCATATGGGCATTCCTACAGCCCTGTTTGCAAGCTGTCATATAACAGGAGAGAAGCATGATAAGGCTGTCCGTGCCTTGGAGAGCGGGAAGCCTTTTAGGGAACATCCTCACAAGCTCTCAGGGGTTCCTGGAGCTTTCCTCATGCACATGCCACTCTGCATCCTCTTGAGTGGCCCCTGGAGCAGTATATAAATATATCACTATTCCCTGGAGTCTGCGGTGAAACTGGGTGGATCCAGACAGAGACAAACTGTCAGGCAGGATGGGAAGAGAAGCTGTGTCTGATCAGTGTGGGAGAGTTGCATAAAGTGACAGTATAGGTTACTGTCATATGAATTCTGGTGTCTGTTTACTTTATTCCAGTTTTTGACATCCTAGCCTGCCCAAATCCCCTTCAAAAGCCCTAGGCCCCCACACTGCTCAGTTTGGTGAGTTAATTGGGCTGCTTTGTGCATCTCTGTCTCTCTGGTACCACATGCTGTGCTGCTCTGTGGCGGGCCCAGCCTGTTTATCTGTGTGCCTCGGCAGCCCTGAGCAGATGTCACCAGCTTATTTAAATGCTGGCGTGCATCCAGGTGTTCCTCATCGCAATTCCAGCTTGTGAGAGTTTACACATCTGGAACAAGGGATGTGGCCTCTGACATACTCAGTGGTGTCTGCAGAGGATTGCTGATGAGAAGGGATTTGATGTGCTGTCATCCTTTCCAAACACCACTGTGATACAAAACACAGATGCAAGCATGCAGCTTGCTCACTGCACCTCCAGAGCGTTGTGAATCACAGAAGTGTAGTGAAAAAACCAAGAGCTGTGGTTCCTGAGTACCTTTGTCCTCTATTTGCCAGGGTGTGACCACAAAATCTCACCCAACAGCACTGTGGGAAGCTGGTTGTGGGTCCTGACCCAGATCTTAATAGCCTCTCAGTCCAGAAAAAACAACTGCAGTCAAACAACCGTGAGTGCTGCAGCACACTGTACTCACATTGTGATGCTTTGCTCGAGTACTAACTGTTGATGGAATGGGATTCCCAAATGTGTCCTGGGCGCCAGTTAGGGCTACCAATTTTGCGTATCGAACTGTGGTAGAGCTGGAGGAAAACACTCATCCTGCTTTGCTGGTTTTCTCTGAGTTCCCAGACTGGTTGTTAAAATAGCTTGTTAACTTTGCTGTGTTGTTTTTGTGTGATTGCTTGATTTTTCATGTCAGAAGTAAACCTGATTGTTGTGGACTGCTTATTATAGATGGTAATTCTGCTCTGACCTGGACGCTAGCTCGGAGCTACTGGACTGAGAAGCACCTACATGGTGTATCTTTGCTTGTCTCTGAACTGCATCTTATCCTGCCTCTGAAGGATGCCCTAGGGCTATTATCTTCAAGTGTCAGAGGTGCATGCAGCGATTTCTGAGTGCTAGAGGCCAAGGAGATAAAGGTAGGACTGGGTCATGCCTCTTATTGACTTCCAGTACACTCAAAATGGGAAAGTAAAGAAGTTAAAGACATTTTAAAATGAGGAGAGTAAGGGAATGCTATCATTGTTGGCAACTGGAAAGTACC